TGTAACATTTCTTTTACTATGAAATGTAATTCACAGATAGCACAATTTAACATGCATAATCTCTGATAGAAAAATCACTGCAACACATTATCTGTAATACAGAAAGGAAACCAAAAACAGTTTACAAGTTCCTACTAGACATGTGGTTATCACTGAGATATGGGAGTTTTAGAAAGGATGTGGGGAACCACGTTGGTAACTCCCCTTGAAAGAAGAGCTGCTGTCTCCACTTCGGGTAAACTCGGCCCTGTTTCCATGTAGAGATCTGGCCAGAGCTGGCTAGGCTGTCTGCTTGTCCCTTCTATTGGCTTTAAGCACTTGTAAATTGGGCTGGCTCGGGAACTGATGTGTATTTTTTTTTTTATCAGTACGAGGGATTGACCACACAACCGCATCCTTGTAAGGTAAGCGCTTATGCTGCTGAGCTAAATCCCCAGCCCCTTGACGTGTAATCTTTGAAGCAAGATGACAGTCACTGTTTCCTTGCCCCAGTGACTCCGAGAAAAGCATGATTGAGTTGGGCGAGATGGAGAGCCATGTTCCACACTGTTGGCTGAGACCAAGCCTCAAGAAAAAGGCTGTGACTTCCCAGGGCAAGAAAGATCATACATCAGCTCTGAAGCACCGCCCCCCCCCAAAAAAAATTAGATACTATCTCAGCTGTGTTATGCAGGTAACTCTCTCTGCACTTCTTGCCCTCTGCATATCGCAGAGGTGATCTCAGGCCTCCTACAAAGCTCAGCTCCTGCGTATTTCCTGCCATTCTTACTGGCTCTAGCCACTCCCCTCACGGAGAATTAATAAAACCCAGGTTGAGCCCTGGCTTGTGGCATTTGCTCTGATGAACCACCACCATCTTGGCTGGACTTAGGACCTCCACGGCTTGCCATAGCTGTATATATGTCTCAGTGTTCTTATTGTCACCTTGGGTTGCACTGGAACCGGTAGATTGGAATCAACTTGCTAGAATTCCAGTAACTTCTCCATGGGGTTACAAATACAAATTTCCCAGACTGTGAGGAGGACAGGAAAGGGATCTCTATAAAAGGAGTCACCTGTAAGACAGCTGTGATCACACACACACACACACACACACACCAGCTTGGCTCAGGGTGACTCCGAGAACCAAACACATTAATGCTTGTGCTGTTAAGTGTGGACTGTTCACACCTCTGTGGGATAAACATTGCTACCAAAATAGCCTGTATCGGCTCAGGCTGGGGACAACAGTTTGTGTCATTCAGAGCCGTTTTGATCTTGGAATTTGCAGGGGGCAAAGAGAGACCCTACCCTGCATTGTTGGCAGAAGAAGCTTGGACCTGATTCTACAGGCCAGTTTAGATGACCTGGGAAGCAGACACCAGAGTTCAGTGATAGGATTCTGTGGAGGGATGACATTTCCAGATCCAGCTTCTGCCCCAAACTGCCTATGATCTTCCCTCGGATCACATGTGGTTGCTTTCCTGGAAAACTGAGTTTTTAAAAATAGTGCAAAATTCTTGCTGGGCGAGACTCCAGGATCCAATGATTGTTAACAGATTCTTCCGGCAGGCTCCAGGAAACTCTTCGTCAGAGCTGCTCAGCGAACCGAAACCACGGCGAGCCAGAAACCAGATTTCCAAACACCTCTGCTGAGCTAGGAGACAGGCGTGGGCAGGGGGTGTGGCGCGGGCCGCTGGGCTGGGCTGGGCTCTCCGCCTTGCAGCAAGAGAGTGCCCTCCAGGGGGCGCGCGTGCTCCGGGAACCTGAGCAGGCGTCCAGGCCTGGGCCACCACACCAGCGCACGCATCGGGATCCGCACACGCAGTCATGGCATTAGTGGGACTGTTACATGCGTGTGGCCATAGGCACGAGCGTGAGTATTCACGTGTTTTTATTGAGGTAAATGCTTGATTTATAGAACCTGCCATTTCCTGGTCCCCTTCCCTTTTGCAAAAGATCTATTTCCCCTTTTCCTATTATCTGTCTTTCATTTTGCTCTTTATAGTTTGGATCAGGGTTTGACCCAGGTTACTCAAACTCCAAAAGCATTTTCCTAATCACTTGCCCATCTTAGTCATGAAGGGCTGAGCCCCTTCTCCAGTTTCTGGGGCACCACCAACCTCCTTCTGGGATGGGCACTCAGCAGGAGGCAGAAGAGAGCCAGGGGAAGGGCTACAGAGAAGGAGCAGGCTCTCCCACTTGGACAGAGCCCATTTTCTGGGCCGAACTCATCTTCTGAGTTAAACAGACCAGGACCAGGATGGCTGGGGCTAAACACAAGGTAGCCAGGCTGTGCCCAGCAAGCCCTGTATGTGCGCCCAGTGGTCTTCTGCAACACTTTGCTGTCCCCAGCCTCATCACCATGTCATGGGCTATGCAGGTCCTCCCCGCCCCCATCCCCTTTGTGCACCATGACAGTTCCTTCAAGGGCCATAAAATGTCAAAAACTCCACTGCCTGGATGGAAGGATTAAATCCAGTCCCTCATTGACAGGAGTCAAACCTCAGACCAAACCCTCAATCCCACCCCAAACCCTAAGGTTTAAAACCCTCAACATCAAACCCCTTGAGTCATGAGTCTTTACTCTGGTCTGCTCCAATTCTGTGTATCTTTCATTTATTTATTTTTGAGACGGAGTCTCACTATGCAGGTAGGCTGGCCTGGAACTCACTTTGTAGCCCAGGCTGGTCTCAAACTCACAACGAGCCTCCTGCCTCAGCCTCCTGAGGGCTGGGATACAAGCGTGTGCCACCATCCCTGGCTTATTTACTTTTTTATTTATTTATTTTAAAGAGAATAAAACTCAACAAAGCAAACCAGGGTAAAGCCAATCCCAACAAAGCAGTGAAAGTGCTACAGAACTTCGAAGCAGGATAATATAAAATAAACAATGGCTATCATTGTATGTCTTGTTATCTTCACAATAGTTGCCCATTCCATCAGACATAGTAAAATCAAGTAGAATAAAACCAATCAGAACAGAACATTGAATAAAAGAACACAATAAATCAGAACAAACCAAAGCAGTGAGAACAATACTGGATTTTTGGTTCTTTTTTTTTTTTTTGGTCTTTTTCCGTTTTATCGGTACCAGGGGTCGAACTCACGACTGCCTGCTTGCAAGGCAGGCGCTTATGCCGCTGAGCTAAATCCCCAGCCCCCAATACTGGATTTTTAAAAAAAAGACAGAAGGAGGGGCTGGGGATTTAGCTCAGCGGCATAAGCGCCTGCCTTGCAAGCAGGCAGTCGTGAGTTCGATCCCTGGTACCGATAAACGTTTAGTTGTTTTTGTAGCTCAGTTCCTTTTAACTCAGCCTGTCCTCTGAACCAGCCAATTGCTTCCTGGGGGCGGGGCTAGTTGGCTCCTGGGGAGGGCCATCTGTTTTCTCTCTTCCTGGGCCCTACATTTGCATGTAGAGTGTATCTGGGTTTGCATGTAGAGTGTATTTTGTTTTTTCCCTTCCAAATAAGTCATGGACCCTGCTGCTACACTTGGTGTCCTGTTCAATTATTATTGAACCTGCTTAAAAGCCCCAGCCCAATAACAAGCAAGCTAAAAGAGAAGACAGCCTCTTATTGATCCAAGGAGGAAAGCGGGTGCAGCGGGGACAGACATTTTCAGGTCAATGAGAAGCAGAAGTTCTGTACCACAACGGGTAACTCCTGGCCTTGAGAAGGGGCCATTATCTCTGTGGCCTTCACTGTAGAGTAAAAGGGGGAATTTTGTGGAGCTGCCGTCCTTAGGTTGAAGAGGGAGGAAACTTGAAGTCCCCTTCAGGGCTGGTCCTCAAAAAGTTAAACAATCACCAATTCCCCCACCACCCACGCATGTTTTCCAAAGAACTGAAAATCAGGGCTCAAACAAATGTTCTCCTGTGAGTGCTTACAGCGGCACTTTTCAACATATACAAAGGAAGGAAATAACCTACGAATCCATCAACAGATGAACAAGCAATAAAAAGAAAGAAGGGGCTGACACATGCCACAGCATAGAGGCAACTCAAAAACGTGATATCAAATGAAAGAAGCCAGACTCAAAAGGCCACGTATGCATGACGCCATGTCTGCGAACTACGCAGCATGAGAGTGTCCATAGATGACAGAAAAGCAGGGGCTGGGACTGCTGAGGTGGGGGTGTTGGCTTAATGTGTCTGCTTCCTTTGGAGCTGATGCAAATGGCTCAGAATTAGACACAGGTGATGGATGTGCAACTTGATGACTGTACTAAATGTCACCATGTTGTACACCTCAGGATGGTTACATGTGTGGTCTGTGAATCTCACCCTCATACAAAAGAGGTACTTAAATTACACAATTCCATTCTTGAGTCATGTTCACATTTGAGGTGCTCGGGGCCACCATGCCAGACAACTCAGACAGAGAGCGATTCTGTCAAAAAGTGTGATTGGACAGCTCTGGTCTAGGGCCTCTCATGGCTTGGATTTGATTGGCTGTATCTACAAGAGGTTGGTTTTTTTTTTTTTTTTTTTTTTTTTTAACTGAGTCCTCTGTTTGCTGTCTTTCCTGTCAGTCAGTAGCTACACTGGACGCTTAATCAGACCTGGGTTCAATTATTGTGGTGACAGCACTCCATAGGCGCTGTGGCCTCCACGGGTCCCCATCTCCCATTGTTGCCTCTGGTTTATGTGTGAGAACAACTCATCCCCTTATTGGCCAAAGGCAGTCACATGACCAAGCCCGGTGGCAATGGGCCAAGGACTGTATTTGACATACCCAAGAGGGCCTCTACAGCCCTATAGTAAAGTCATAGATGTATAATTCCACAGCAAGGAGGGCATGGAGCTTTAGAAATAATCCAATCTACTATTTATTTTTTTAAGCAAATGCATTTTTCAGAAATGACCCTGAGTCACTGAGAGGCTAGATAACTTGGCTAAGGTTACACAGCTTAAGTGGTGGGACAAGGATTTGAACCTAAGAGGACTGATTCCAGAGTTTGGGACCTTTGCTGCTCCTCCAGAGGAAAATTAGGTTTTTTGGTGGAGTTGAGAGACAAAGACAGAGATAAGAATAGCCTTTATTGTCGGCACAAGAGGCCTTCTGGAGACTGTGGGGACCCTCAGACAGGAAGCTGGGGAACAACTTTTATGGAGTTGGGCTGGGGGTGGAGACTGGATTATGGTGTCAGGAGAGGATTGGAAGATCTTTGGTGCATGCAAGAAAGAAGAACAGGAAGTTTATCTTGGGCTTGGAAGAACATGGAAGTTAGTAATGGAGGGAAACGTCATTCTAGGGTCCAGCACCATGGGCAAGCACCACATTTAGTCTGGCAGAGTCCCATACAAGTGGCACCCATCATTCCATCTTTTGTTGTTATAGGGTTATGACTCTCTCCAGCTGCTTCCTGCTGGCTATAGGTCCTGGTCTTCTGCAACACTTGGCTGCCCCTCATCACCATGTCAAGGACGATGCAGACCCTCCTCCCAAAGATACCTTTGTTCAATGAGGGTCATGGCCCCTGAGGCCTGTTAGTCCTCTTCAGTGGCAAGACCAAGCAGGTCAGTTAGTGATGAGTCCGGTGGTGGTGATGAGCTTCCTGTGAGGGTGGGGAGTTTGATGACTTTCCCACTCTCTGGGGGACAGGGCAGTCGCACTTCCAGTGACCTCTTGGTTGCAGATGGGACAAGGTCCCAGGGGTGGCTGTGGGCTGAGGTAGGCTCATGTCCAATGTCCTTCTTTTCTGCACTTAAATCATGGTCAGGGGATGGGGTTCAGGTGGTACCCTTGTTTTGGTTTAACTTTCCCAGAAGCCTCGAGTGCCACAGCCAAAAGCTGGCATTTGTTTGTTGTGTTGTTGTTTATCCTAATTTTTGTTGTTGTTGTTCTTCTCTACTGTTGAAGACATGGAAGGCCAGATTTATGAGCTCTCCCTGTGGGGCCTGAGGGCCGAGCTGTCTTTTTTAATTTAGAGCAGATGTCAGGGGGCAGATTGAGAAATGGAAAGGGAGTTAATGAGGACTATTCCCTCAGGGGGGTGGGGGCTGACATCAGTGTATCTGGTTTGAGTAGCAGTGAGACAAGAAAGAAATTCAGCAGGGTTTTCATCAGTGCATTGTGTTTGTTCATGAGGTTTTTAGTGGTTAGTGTATTTATGAGAAATTTTATTTAGGCCCACAATTATGCAACCAATGATTATATTCATGCATTATAAGCCATTATATCCCTGATAATCCCACTGAGGGCTGCATTTGGTATGGCAGCAGTGAGGTATTCGGGGTCAGCTTGGTATCTGTGGTCAGTTTTGGCTTGGGCCACTTCCCACAGTTGAGTTTTTTCTTGATGGGAAAAGGTGGATGTGAGGATGATTTAAAGGTCTTTATAATGTAGGTCATAGGAGTTAATCGTGAATTGGAGCTTTATTTATTTTTTGTATTAAGGATCATACTCACTACCTTGTGCTTGCCAGGCACTTGTGCTGCTGAGCTAAATGCTGGACCTGGAGTTTTTTGTTTTTTTGTTTTTAAGAAGGTTTGAACTCACAACCTTGTGCTTGCCAGGCAAGTGCTCATGCCACTAAGCTAAATCCTTTGGAGCTCTTTTATATAATTGTAAGGATCTGTGGAGAAGGAGCCTAGTTTATGAGGATAGGTCAGAAAGAGAAAAAGAGACATGAACACGCAGCAGCCCGTCAAGGCCAGCTGCCTCACAGAGAGGAAGGAGGGGCTGGGGTTGAGGAAATGGTAGCGGGCTAGAAGATGGCGGGAGGTGGGAGGGATGAGACCAGGTGTGGTGTTCCAGAGGAGAAAATGGCGACAGAGGTGTGGAGGATGCCAGAGGGGAAAATGGCAATGGAGGGGCTGAGGAGGAGGAAGTGGAAGGGGGTGCAGGGTGAGAAGGGGAGGGGGTGGGTGAGGCTGGAGAGGTTGAGGGGTGACAGATTCTGTGGATATGGTGGGGGGGGTGAAAGGAGAGGGGACATCATCAAGAGGATCAGTAGGGTTGTCAGGTAAGGCTTTTGGTGGCGTGGAGTGGGCCAGAAGTATTTGGGCCACCCCAGATGCCTGAATGAGGGAGGGATGTGCCCCGAGAGCAGTACTTGCATGTAAGGTTCTCTGACCATTGATGTTGTGGTAGCAAAAGTTGTCTAAGTCCCAGAGGACCCTGAAATAGAAAGTGCCCACCTTGGGCCAGTGGCTGCCATATTGAATTTTTATTGGATCCAAGCCTTCCAGCAGTAAAAGATTAGTCCTTTTGGTTGGATGGTCTCCTGGACACCTAGGGTGCTTAAGGTTTTGAAGTAACTGAAGTGTGGTTTGGGGGTTGGGAAGGAATATTTCCCATAGTGATCAAATCGGAGGTGAGCCAAAGGCCAAAGCCAGTCACAACCCCTGGGAGGATCGTCACCCTCATTGTGGTGACAGACAGAGAGGTGCCCTGTTGGCCCTGTAGGTTGTCACCAGGGGATCAAGCGGAATCTCAAAGGACGTGAGGGAGTCCTGATGTGGGGCCTACGATTTTTGAGAGCAAGACACAGAGAATGGCAGGAACTCCCGGAATGAGGAGCAGCTCACGTGGGGGAGGCGGATTGCATTGGTGCTGGATGGAGGCTGGCCACAGCAAAGGCAGAGACGCAGAAATGAGAGAAAGAAGGGTGGTTTGTTGTTGGGGTGTAGACCCCAGGAGCTGCATGCCCCAATCCGAGTCACGACACTAAAGTGTTAGGTTTTTTGGCACAGTTGAGAGACTTTTTTCAACTTTTTTTGTGGGGGTACCAGGGATCTAACTCACAACCTCATGCTTGCCAGGCAGGTGCTTATGCTGCTGAGCTAAATCCTCAGCACACAGTTGAGAGACTATTGGCAGTGAGGGAGGGTTACTGGAGACTCTGAGGACCCTCAGACTGGGGAAGCCGGGGAACGGCTTCTATGGAGTTGGGCTGGCAGTGGAGACTGCATCACGGTGTTGAGAGAGGACTGGCGGATCTTCGGCATGCACACAAAAAAAGAGCAGGAAGTTTATTTTGGCCTCAGAAGAAGAGCACAGAAAGTTAGTATCAGAGGGACACGCTGTTGTTCCAGGGCCCAGCGCCATGCTGGGCAGGCAGCACGTTAAGCCTGGCAGGGTCTCAGGTGAGCAGAAGCCATCAAATGGTACCCAGGTCATGGGGCAGAGGTGCTGCTTCAGCAAGAGCACAGGACTGCAGTGGGCTGACCTGCAGCACTGGGACTCACTGCTAACTTCCAGCACCTGGTTGCAGGTTGGCCCTGGCTTCCATCTGGAGAGACTTCCTGCCCGGGAGACACCGCCCTGTGTGGGTCCACCTGATTAGGAGGCGGAATCACGCCAGGGAGGAGTGGAGATGAAGTCAGGAGGAGCAACTGCCCCCAGCTTTGGGTGGGAGTGGGGAGCCTCTACGGTGACCATCGGGAAGCAGAAGTGGAGACAGGGGTTAGAGATATGGACTTACCAGAAATGGGGTTCAGCACAGTTCTGGGAGGTTATTGCTGTACCCTCTGTCCCTGTCAGTAAGACAAGCAATTTTCTGAGGAAGGGGCAAGGTCTGACTGAGTCATTAATTTGCCCAAGCTGAGCTCAGTCTTGCAGTCTTCCTGCCTCAGCCTCCCAGAGTGCTGCAGTACATGCATTTATTGCCAGTACCATAACCATCCAGCTTCCAGGTCTCTTTCCAGGGTGTGGTTATAGACACAGCTCCATGATACCTTCCCCCATGGAGAGTGTGAAGGTGAGATTTTTCACCCCAGGGTGGGCACACGACTGTGTCCAATCTCACATGCTGTTCCTTCTAGAAGCTTGCCCTTCCTGTCCAGAGCAGAGTCTAGGTCGTTCCTTGAAGCTGGGTAGGACTTGCTGGATGCCATGGCAGAAAGCATAAAATAGAAATGACATCCCAAGCTCCCTCAGAAAAGGAGCAGTGGTGCACACTCTGGGAGGCTGAGACATGAGGATCAAAAGTTTGAGTCTGACCTAGGCCATTTCTCAAAAGTACCCAGGTGTGGTGGTACACACCTGTAATTCCAACACTTGGGAGGCTGAGGCAGGAGGATCATCATGAGTTTGAGGCCATCCTGGGCTACAAAGTGAGTTCAAAGCAAGCCTGAACTTTATAGTGAAACCTTGTCTAAAAAGGACCAAAAAAAAAAAAAAAAAGTAGGGGAAGCTAGGTATACTAGGTATACAATCAGTGCAAAGGCCCTGGGTTCAACCCCTAGCACTGAAATAATTATAATAATCACAGACCCCTTCCAAATATCACCATCCATCCCCACTAGGTTTTTTTCCCCCCCAGTAGGTTTTACCTTCCTATGTAACATCCCCCAACATACACTTCTGTTACATTTCTTTTGCAGGGTCTGTCTGTCCAGTTACAGTGCAAACTCCATGACAGCAGGTGAGAGGACTCGGGGTGGTTTGCCCATTGCTGGACCCCCAGTGCCTGAGGCAGTGTTGGGCATGTGTTTGCCACATTGTGAATATCTGCAGGAAAAACTGAGTGGATTGGTGGGTGGATGTATGGTTAGGTAGATAAATGCAGGGTAGAGGAAAAGGAGAAAGAGAGGGAAGGATCCCAGGCCATCTTGAAAACATGAAGGCTTCCACATGCCCAAAGTACAGCGTACTTTTAAAAAACTAGATTCCAAGCTGAGTGTGGTGGCACACTCCTGTAGTTCCAGTACTCAGAAGGCTGAGGCAGGAGGATCATTGCAAGTTCGAGACCAGCCCAGGCTACAAGGTGAGCCCAAGGTCAGCCTAAACTGCATAGTGAGACCCCGTCTCAAAAACACAAAATAAATAAATAAATAAAATGGATCCCCAAAAGCAAAAATCAACCTTATCAAAATCAACCAAATAATCACTTGCTCTCCAACCCATGACCCTCCTTCCTCCTAAATAGTTCTTGCTTCTTCCAATATTGCACTGGGAGCATTTTTAAACTTACAAAGAAGTTGAAAGATGTGACAGTGAACACCTTCTACCAGCCACCCAGCTGTTGACATCCCACTCTACCTGCTTTATCCTATGCCTAGCTATTTAGCATCCACCCACCCGCCACTCATCCAGGGCTCCAGCTTACTTTTTAATCACATTTCAATGAGAGGTAAAGGCATCAGGACGCTGCCCCCTTAGTCCTCAGCCTGATATTCATTGTCTCTTTCCTTTTCTTTTCTTTTCTTTTCTTTTCTTTTCTTTGGTACTAGAAATCGAGCTCATGACCTCATGCTGGCCAGCTGGGCACTATGCCACTGAGCTGTGTCTCCAGCCCTCTTTTTTATTTTCTATTTTAAGGCAAAAGTCACAGAGAACAAGTTGCATAAATCTTAAGGGTGTCATTCACAAATTTAAGAGTTCTGATAAGTGCATACACATCTGTAACCCAAAGCCTTTATGAAGACAAAGAATCCATCTCCTGACCACTTTTGCTTTCTCCATACTTTAGCCCGAAATTAAATCACATAACAAGGCCTGTTTTATGCTTGGTCTTTTTTTTGAGACAAGGCCTTACTATGCAGCTAAGGCTGGATTTTAATTTGCAGAAATCCTCCTGCCTCAGCCTCCTGAGTGCTAGGATTATAGGCGTGCACCACCACACCCATTTTAATACAAAAAAGGTTTTGGGCTGGAGATGTAGCATAGTGGTAGAGCATTTGCCTAGCATGCTCAAGACCCTGGACTCCATCCCTAGCACTGAAACAAAAAACAAGTAAAGTCTTAAATTCCTCCTGAAAACAAGAACACATCCCTTTAGTATAATTTGGAAATCATTTTGACATATTTTCCTTTTTGCTTTAGCTATCAGGAGACTACCCAGTGAAGTGTAAGGCTAACCTCAGATGCCTGAGACAGATAGATAAATGGTGGATAGATAGGTGATAAATTTAGTTCTATTCTAATGTTTACTTAAAATATGCCATACTCACTAGTAAGCCCTCAGATTGGTTATCTGCTGTGACCCCCTTGTCCCAAAATAATGAGTATGTTCTTTCTACTGCCAACCTTCTATTCTTTCCCCTGTCCAAACCCTTCCAACATGTCCATGATCCTCCTCACCTTGGGACCAGCCATGACTCCGCAGTGTCTCCCGTGAACATTTCTTCTACTTTGTGTCCCTGCCGCCTTTCTAATTCAGGCCCCTTATTTTCTTCTTTGCCATACTGAGGACTGAGAGCTGATTTGTCTGTTTACTAAGACTTTTGGGGGGGTTGCAAGCAGCTGAAATCCATTTGAACTAATCTCAGGACAAAGTCAATGAATAACACAATATTTTAAAGCAACTGCAACAACCAAGAAAAAAAAACAAAAGAACTCATGATGGTTCATGTGACAACCCAGTCCAATCAGGGTTCAGGTACGGCCTGACCCAGGCACCCAGGGCTGGTATCAAGACTGATTTTCACAATCTTTCTCTTCTGTTCTCTTTGTGTTGACTTCCAACCCAGAAAGTCTCTCCTATCTTTGTAGCAGTGGGCGGCCCATCAGCTCCAACTTGGCAACTACAGCAGAAATAGAAAAACTCCCTCCTGACAGTTATACAGCAAACCCAAACTTCTCACCGGCCACATGACTTCCTCGAGTAATTACTGTGACCAGGGAAACCATAAACCGGTTAGGCCCAGATCTGCTATGCTCCTGGAATCAGTGAGGGCAGGGACAGCCAGCCCTATACAGATGAAATAGACTGAGAGAGGAGTGTATTTAATTTTCCTAAATAAAGCCCAGGCTGGGCACATGACTGTAATCCTAGTACTAGGGAGGCTGAAGCAGGAGGATCACTATGAGTTCAAGTCTAGCCCAGGCTATATAATGAGACCCTATGTTAAAAAAAAAAAAAAATCCCTAAACAAAATTGACTAGGATACTAGGGTCAAGTGGGGAGCCAAGTGCTGGAGAAAGAGCATGTAAGAGAACAGCATGTGCAAAGGACTTGTGGTGGGACTTGCCTAGAAAACCCATGGATCTGCAAAGCCTCTTGGCTGCACCATAGACATCTGCTGCAGTGCGCTTCTCCCTGCTGTAAGTGCATCCAGTGTACTGGTCCCTATCCATGTGGATTAGCATATGCGTGTGTACACGCATGCATGCACACATTCACGTGCTTTTTCTTACTCAAGTGTACTGTTTTCATTTGCCCTAGACGACTTTCCATCCCTTTTCACTTGGTTGGTAAAATGACACCATTTCTCTGCTCCTTTTAAAAATGTGATTGAGTTAAAGCTATTTATTGGACAAAAGCTTCAATATTCATCAGCGGAAAAAGGCAGTTAGAGGGGCAATGGGACTAGGGCGCGGTGGAAGGGGTGGAGAAGGGGACCGACCAGGTTGGGTGCAGAAAGACGAGGATGGTAGAGCTGGGGTAGTGTTAGGAGCTGGGGGCGCAGAGGGGAAGTGGGGATCCGGTAACAAACTAGATTGTGAGATCAGAAGGGGGGAGGTGGGAAAGGTGGAAGTGAGGTTAGGGGGTGGCAGCTGAGTCCTGGGAACAAAGCGAGCTGGTCGGCTCAGACCAGACCCTACTGTTGAACCTCAGAGGCTGAGCAAGACAAGTGCGGCCACCGACGGCGCGGGCCACTGGGCTGAGGGAGTCGGCGGCGAGGGGCGTGGCTGGGGGTGTGTATTACACACAGTCCGCACGTTTCAGTTCCAAGTCTTCTCCTATGGTCGCGCCTCCTACCTGAGAGTGACAGAAGCGCTGCCCAACCACGGCTGCGGAGTGGACACAGCGCAGCCAATGAGGTGTCGGGGGTGGAGCTGGGGAGGGGGCTTTTAGGGCCAGGGGAGGGGGCTCGCGGTCTCCAAGGGTTCGGAAGCAGAGACTGGCGAGCCATGGCGCTGGGGCTGCAACGGGCAAGGTACGATACTGGAGTTGGGGCACGGGAATGATGGGCAGCGGAGGGGCTCTTCTTCCGGGGACCCCTTGACCTAGACTAGGGGTGCGAGTGTGAGCCTAGGACGCTCCGAGGCGAGTGGTTGTAGGCACCTCCCCGCCGCACCCTCTACCCTAGGGGACTGCATTGGGTGGGATATTTTTTTCAGGTCCCCTGCTGTCCTGCCCCATTTGTCAGGAACGGCTTTGGGGTCGTGATCCCCGATTTTCTACTACCCCAAATTGGCTTCTCCCGCTGTGGGAGGTGAAACTCAGGTCCCCAGGGAACTGGACGTAGTTGCATTTGAGCAGTGCTCGGGCTTCGGGGGAGGCTTTCTTCCTCCACATACGGATCCTTCTGGTCTACAAAGCCGCAGAACTGAGGCTATGCTTTGCCATCAGACCCTTGTGATCTACAGAGTGTCCCCAAATTGAAATACAAAGAGGTCCCTGAGGATTGAGCACCAGAACTCCAGAGAAGAGACTGCCTTTGATTCGACCGTTCCTATAATTGCCTAAGCTTTGAGTTTTTCTGGAAATATAGAGAGAGGTTCCTTTTAACAGCTGCCTGGGACCCTTCCCAGAGGGTCTTTTTATCCTTTGCAAAAGTTGGGTCCCCCCCCCCTTGCATAAAAGGGAAACAAGCTTGACCCACTTACCAAACTCTGGCCCTATGTCTCACTCTGCCACCCCAACTCTGTGCTGCTGCTGACGGACGGGACCCCACTCAGTCTTATTCTGGAGAAACCCTCTGGGGAGGTGCCATGCCTGGACCAGCATGGGCTGTCAGCTGCAGTGGGAGTGTCCCCTGCCATGGGGCCCAGCAGGGTCACCCTGGGAAGAGGTGGGTTTCTGTGTTCACCTTTCAACAGGTGCAGGGGCAGAGTGTACCCTGGGACCACAGCCAGGGGTTCTGTCTGACCAGGTTCTCATGGGACCCCAAAAAAAGTCCCAGGGCCTTGGTTTTCCCTGCCCAATCTGAGGCGTCCAGCAAGCCTCACCCCTTTCCTCCTCCCTGGCCTGACAGGTCTGATTGGCTCGGTCCACACCCCCGTTTTTTAACACCCACACTCCACTCCCCCTCTCCTGTTCTATTCCAATCCCTGGCTCTGGGCCCACCAGGGAACTCCATCCTTCTGGGCCAGTCCCTGCCCCAACCCCCAGCGCCCCCTCCTGGCTGCGTGGGGACCCTCTTGGCTGAGAAAGGGTGCTCCCCCCTCACCATCCAAGGCCAGCCCTTTCCTGCGGTGTCATCCCACCTCAGCACATCACCCCCCTCATAACTCGCACCAGGATCCCAGCCACACTCCGGCCCCTCCTGTGCCCCCAGGATGGCACAAAGAGGGTCTGGGCTATGGTGAGTGGGCCCCCGATACCCCCAACCCTTCTCTTTCTGCAGGTGAGGCTCCCAGTATTCCTGCCCCAACACATGGCACTGAATGCCCACTGTGGGTAGAGGGTTCCCAGAGAAGACAGGACTTTGGGGATGGGCACCCTACTGAGTTACCATGCCCTTGGGAACAAAGTCAGCATCGGAGAGACCCCTGGATCTGCACCCCACATCCTTTCTCAAATCCAAACCTTGCTCCAGGTCTCCCAGGCCACTCGTAGGCAGTGCCAAGAAGGGTCTTTGCCCAGATGAAACCTAAAGTCCCCTACACTTTTTGCAAGCCCCCACCCCAACTAGAATTCAAAAGAGAGAGCTCAGAAGGAGCTCCAAGTGTGGGCAGGGGCTCCCTGTTTTCATGCCTGTGCTCTTGGGTCCTGGTTCTTCAGAGAAGGGAAGAAGTGGCTTTTCTCCCTCCTGGTTGTGGGGTGCCTCAGCCCAGCCCCCCTTTCCAGGCCTCACCCTGGGGCCTCCTGGCCCCACCCCCTGTTCTCGGCTGGAACATGGAGGAAGGGTGGCAGGGTTCCAGCCGCACGTCCCCAGCTGGGCAGAGTGCCAAGGGGCTGGACCAGGGCTGGGCATGGGGCCAGGCGGGCAGATTCAGAGGCCACAGCAGTGGGACAGGGGGAGGAATTTAGGCCAGTAGGCAAAGAGAAGCAGGGAGGGGTCCCCAGAGCAGGGGGTTCACCCACAGAGGCATGGCATTTAAGAACACAGGTCCTAAAGTCAGGGTTCAAATCCCAGTGCACCCGCTTCCTGGCCGTGTGGCCCTGTGCCAGTGCTTGCCTATCTGAACTCCGATTTCAACCTGGAAAATGGGAATCATACCTTCCCCTTCCCACCCCAGATCATGATGAGAAGCCAGTAAGCAACCGACTGGGGGCCAATGGGGCACCCATAGGTAACTGCACGATAAACTGAGTCCAAGTCAGGATTCTGGGTGGAAGCAAATGCAGCTTCACTGCTGGACATGGCAGTGCCTGGCAGTCCCACCACCGCTCTCCTCCTGCAGCGGGGAGGCTGGTAGGAGGCGGATGACTGCAAGCATTGGCGAGGGCAGTGGGGTTCCACCCAGGCACTGGGCTGTACCACTACAGCTCTGAGCCTCACTTTCTGTCTCTTTCCATGAGAGATGACTTCTCCAGCTCTCTAGGGTTTCTGTAAGGATTTTGTGGGGTCTCTAGCTCCGTGAGTGTGTAATACACCAACACTGTCATTACTGTCACTGGTATGTAGTCCTCTTCCCAAGGTGTTTATATGAAAGCCATGCATGGAATTGCACGCACACCTAAGCACACACATCACATGGTTACTCACCGTCAACACCTGCAGGTTACTCCAGTGCGCCAGAGGCCCCCGGGCCCAGCCTCTGTCCTTGATGTGCACAAAGAGAGAGTGGTTAGGTTTAACCTTTTCCAGCACTAACCAGTTGCCAGGCCTTGTTTACTAAGCCCTCGACATATATTAACTTGTTCACTCTTCAAAACCCTTTAGAAGCCAGGTGTAGTGGTCTACACCTCAAATCCTAGCACTCAGGAGGCTGAGGTGTGAGGATTGCCAGAAATCCCTAAAATGCATGTGAGACCCTGACTACAAAAAACAACAACAACAACAAAAAAAACACCCTCTCTACAAGGTGGGTGTTCTTGCTATGTTCCAAGGAGGCGGTACAACTTGTCCAAAGTCACACAGCTAATAAAATAATGGAGTTGGGATCGGATCCCTAGTTAGAGGAACTGGCCCCCACTCTGTTTAACGAAAGGCTTCAAAAGCCAGAGACCCAGTGAGAGGCCCACACTTCCCTCGGCACATCCGGAGAACAGGCTGGGAGCTGGAAGGAAGGTCCCACTGCAGCCACCAGCTGGCCCCTCCAAAGGAAGGAGACGTGCCACCAAGAGGATTAAGGAGCCCCAGCTGCCTGGGAGGTGGAGTGCTGCCCCGCCCCATCCCTCTTTCCACTCTCCACTAGCTCCTTCTCTGGAAGGGGGGCAACTCCATTCGGCCCGCCCACCCCCACCCTCTGGGCAGGAAGACAAACAGGGCTGGAACAGTCTGCACGGGACGGAATGTCCTCTGGGCAGGCAGGACTGAGGCCTCTGCCCCCCGGGGAGGGAATGGGGGGCCATATCTTACCCCCCTGCTTACTGCCCAGCACGCCCCCCACGCCTCCTGTGCTTTTTCCCTAAAATCTCCTTTGTACACTCATGCCTGGGGGTGGAGTTGGTGTCATCCCAGAGTGGCCTCTACTCCCCTGAATTTAGGAAGGTACAGCTCCCCCCACTACTATTCTGTTTCCCTGGGTTACAAGGAGGGAATTCAAGAAAAGACTGAGGAGCCAGGCATGGCACACATCTGTAATCCCAGCCCTTGAGCGGCTGAGGTAGGATTGCTGGGAGTTTGTGGTTACATTGGGCTACATAGCAAGTTCAAGGCCAGCCTGAACTATATAGTGAAACCCTTTAAAAATTACAAAAAAAGAAGAGGAGGAGGAGGAAGAAGAAACTGGAACCTCGCTGCTGTGGTTCAAATCCCAGCAAGGGCCAAGAAGGCTATATATACAACAGATGTAATATGCCCTGTAGTTTTTTATTTAGAAAAAAAAGCTCCCAGCACTCAGGAAGCTGAGGCAGGAGGATCAAAGCTAGCATGGGCTCCACAGTGAGTTTAGGGCTGGCCTGAATTATAGAGCAAGACCTTGTCTTAAGGTAGGGCTGATTCTGGATTCAGTCAGATCTGGAATTTGAATTTAGAGGCAGGTGCAGAATGAAGGTGAAGCACTAAAACCTGGACATAGACCCAGGACACAAAAACAGAAAAATGTAAGGGTTCAAGCAGATGAGTTGTTCAAATACAGCACTTTGCTGTTTATGGCAAGCACTGCAACTCTCTGCCTCGTTTTGTCTCCTGTTCAATGGGGACGATGGTATTCCTTCTAGGGTTATCTGATGGGGTTCCCACTTGGCACAGGCGCTGGCATGGTAGTGAAACTAGATGAGCAGCGGGCATTTTGATAAAATGGTGCTCACTCCACCCCAACCCCAACCCCAACCCCACTTGAAGAACTCAGGTTATTTGAAGTGGAGGGTGGACAGAGGTGAACGCTGGCGACTGGATGAAATGCTGGGCTTGGTTTGCTGTGTCACTCTGTGGGGGCCCTGCCCCTCTTAGGGCCTCTCTTGGTGGGGCCTTAGACTTTGAGATATCTCTGCTTCAGGAGCCCGAGGACTCAGCCGAGCTGGAGAGGGAAAAGGGCAGAAAAGGGGCACCGGGGGCTGAAGGGCAGGGGGCCTGGGAGGCTGCCAGCGTCTCATGATCCCTCCCTTCTCTGGCCCCAGCCCAGCTCGGCCAGCCCCCTCCCACCAGGAGGCCTCTCTGTCCCCTAGGCGTCCCTAGCTTGGGAAATAAATTGCAGATAAGTCAGGGTGGGGACAGAGCAGACTCCAGGCACGCCTAGAAGAGGAGCAAGGCGCCAGGAGGGCAGCATGGGCTTCCAGCAAGACAGGTAAAATGGGGGCTTGGCGGGGCTTCGGAGTGTGTAACCTTTCAGCCCAGACAGTACCAAGAACTAACTATTCGGGGTCACACAGCGGACCCAAAGTGGCTGTACCGTCCACGTCCACCTCTTTTCTCTTCGGGGGAAGCTGCCAGTGAACGCCAACCCATGCCCGTAGGTCGAGCACGGAGCTGCGCAAGGAGAAGTCCCGGGATGCGGCCCGCAGCCGGCGCAGCCAGGAGACCGAGGTGCTATACCAGCTGGCGCACACGCTACCCTTCGCACGCGGCGTCAGCGCCCACCTGGACAAGGCGTCCATCATGCGCCTCACCATCAGTTACCTGCGCATGCACCGCCTCTGCACCGCGGGTGAGCCCCGTCTCTGCGGAGGCCCAGTCTTCAGTCCCGGCGAGGCCCCGGCCTGGGAGAGCTTCCCCGCGGACCCCCACCGCCCCGGAATTTGCTCTCTGACTGAGGCCCCGCCTCCTCGCGTGCTGAGCCAGTCGGAGCCCAGTGGGCTTGGAAGTCCCGCCCCTATTGTTGTCTATCATTTTGAAGCCCCGCCTTGGGAATGCTGCTTTGGGAACCGCTGCTGCTTAGAGATCTAAGACCTGCAAATTCCCTGCATCCCCTCAACCCTTAATTTGGTTCCCTAGGAGACATTCGGCGGTAGGCTCTGACCCCTCACAATAAATATTCCAGGGAGGCTCCGCTACCCAATTTTTAATCCCTTTAGTTCCTTTTCCCGCTGCTGCTTCCCTTCGCAGTTTGTAGTTTGTTCCCAACTAGCCCTCCCCTTGAATTTCCACCCAGCTAGAATTCCACTATGCAGGAGGCTTTGACACGCACACATGCGCGCAGGCAAGCACGCAGAGGCCTCGAAATCCCAGATTTGATTACGGAGGAAATGGAGCCATCCTCTGGCCGGCACTGCCCGTTAATTCCTTGCCCCATAGGATGTTACGCCTTGCTTTGCCCCCTTGGAATTGTGTCCCTCAGAAGTCCCTGCTCAGTTAGAATTCTTCATCTAGAAGGTTCTGCTCTCCAAGAATCCTTGGAGGGGTGCGCCTTGCCCCCATTCCAAAAATTCCAAACCTCACCCCAGCTCTGACTCCTTTGATTTCTTTTTTGTTTTGTTTTGTTTTGTTTTTTATCAGTACCAGGGATCGAACTCACGACTGCCTGCTTGCAAGGCAGGCGCTTATGCCGCTGAGCTAAATCCCCAGCCCCAACTCCTTTGATTTTTGATCCCTGGGAACTCCATCTTCTTGGGGTTCTGCCCTCCCAGGAGACCCATCCCTTAGAATTGTGTCCCTTGGGGAAGCTCCGTGGTCCTGCCCTCTTCTTTGGCACTCTGAGCCACCATGATGTGCCCCCATTCACCTGGGTGTATCGGGAAGATCCTGTGTCGGAAGAGGCAGAGGGAGGCCAACCAGGGTGAGCCCAGGACCGATGAGTGACACCCCCATGCTCTGCCCTGGGTGCCAGGGGAGTGGAACCAGATGGGAGCCGAAGGAGAACCACTGGATGCCTGCTACCTGAAGGCCCTGGAGGGCTTCGTCATGGTGCTCACTGCCGAGGGAGACATGGCTTACCTGTCGGAGAATGTCAGCAAACACCTGGGCCTCAGTCAGGTGAGCTGCCGTTCTGTACCGGGTCCTGTGAGTGACGCTGGGGATAGCGTGGTGAGTGACCAGCCTAAGCCCTACTTCTGTGGGACTCACAGGACAGAGGAGGTATGGCTTCTCACCAGACACCAAGGCACACAATGGTCAGCGCTGAGATGGAAGAGGTTAGGGGTGTGGGAAATGGAGGGGTACCTCACCCTGCCTGGGGTGCAGGGAGGGGCTTCCTGGAGAAAGGGACATCTGAGCTGATATGTAAAGGACATCGAGTCAAAAGGATATGGGAAATGGGTGGCCAGTGAAGATCAAGAATGTGCAGGGTACAGGGCAGAATGTGCAAACACTCAGAGGTGAGATAAAACAGCATTTGGGGGAAACAAATTTCTTGTGGCTAGAGGAACAGTGCAGTGGGAGAAGCTGAGAGAGAAAAGGCTAGAGAGGTCAGCAGAAACCAGACAACATGAGGCCAAACCAGGAGGGTTTGTCTCCAGGGCACTGGGGAGCCATGGAAAGACATAAAGCGGAGAAGAGCAATCACATGTCCGTTGTAGAAAGCTTCCTCATGGGAAGAGTATTGAAAGATCAGCAAGGGGTAGATGCTGATCTGAGGTGGGAGAGCAGCAGTAGGACAGGACCCCTGGGACCCAGAGACAAGAGACATTTAGAAAGCAGAACTACCTTAATTAACCCTTAATCATGCCTCAAGAATTCCCCTAATGGAATTCTGTCCAATTTTTTTTTTCAGTACCAGGGATCCAACTCACTACCTTGTACTTGTCAGGAAGGTGCTTGTGCTGCTCACCTAAATCCCTAGCTCTCCTTTCCAATTTTACATAAATGGGTACCAGAGCTCACCTCTGTTTCCCTGTCTCATAACCCCACTCCTGGAACCAGTTTTACTGTTGCTGTGAGCTCTTGGACTCAGAGAGGCCCCAAAGCTAGGAAGTGGCACAGCCAGGATTCAAACCCAGCTACAAGAGGTCCTTTTAGAGGAATAAGCTGTCATTCTGCCACCAGTGAGTTGGGAATCACTGTGAGTCCTCTTTCATCTGTGTCTCCTCTTCCCAGCACCAAACTCATTTCCTAAACTAAAACAAGTATATGCTTACCTCAGCACTTTTTCACTTGCTGCTCCCTTTTTTATGACACTCTTACTCGGAGGAGCCACAAGCCCATCTCAGTTGCTTCGTTCAGCGATTTTTTTCAAGTGTTACTTCCTCAAAAAAGCTGTCCAGAGCTGATCTCTCTAAACAAACCCTATCATTACATCACTTCACTCTGCTTTAGTTGTGTATCTCCTTGTTATTTGCCCTGGTATTGTTTTGCTTAATGGACTGTCTCCCCTGACTAGTCAGTAAGTGCTTCAAGGCAAAGATTGGGTGGTCACTGATGCATCTGGCAAATAGATACTGAATAAGTTGTTTACTCAGAATGAATAGATGGATGAATGAGTGAGCGAGCAGGAAGACTGGTGGGGGAACCAGGCTGGTGGGGCAGGAGTGATTAGCAGGAGAAAGGGGAGACCACCACCCTCCAACACTCCTGCCCTGCCCCTACCCACAGCTGGAGCTCATTGGACACAGTATCTTTGATTTCATCCATCCCTGCGACCAAGAGGAGCTCCAGGACGCCCTGACCCCCAGGCCCAGTGAGTGCCCTGGAGGCCACGCCCCCATTTTACAGAGGAGGAAACTGAGGCTCACCCTCTCCTTTAGTATATCCCATCCTCTGGAACATTAGACCTTGCCAAGTCCAGCTATGAGATCTGAGGGGTCAACTCTACTTCTAAGGGACCTTCTCTGGCTCTAGGTCTCAGTTGGGGGCATGAGGCTGGGCAGTCTCTACCATCCAGGTGCTGGAGGGCTTTTGGCCCTTTGCAGCTGCTTGGTGACCCGCCCACCACCCCTGTGCCTCCAGGCCTGTCCAAGAAGAAACCAGAGGCCCCCACCGAGCGATGCTTCTCCTTGCGCATGAAAAGCACCCTCACCAGCCGTGGGCGCACCCTCAACCTCAAGGCAGCCACCTGGAAGGTGGGCGGGGCCTGACCCGGAGGTGGGTGGGGACAGCCTGGAGGGGGCGGGGCCTCTGCCGGACGTTCTCATACTTGCAGGAGGCTGTTTCTGGGTCGGGTATCCTGGGGAGGGGGGGCTCAAGGTGGACCTAGGAGGACTTTGGGGCATCTAGGAAGCTGGATGTCTGTGGGAATGGGCATTAGGGGTCCTTGTAACCTTTCTTAGGCTGATCTCTGTGGGTCCTCAGCCCTCTGAATGTGGAGTCTTCATGTGGCTGGAACACGGGTGTCCCGAGCACCCCAAAGCTGACCCTCTGAGATCCTCAGGGATTTCTCCTTCACAGCCCCCTGGGGAAACCGGGCCCAGATGCAAGCCCAGCACACTCGCTCCACCCTCAGGTGCTGCACTGCTCTGGACACATGAGGGCCTACAAGCCCCCAAGTCAGACAGCCCTGGCCGGGAGCCCCAGCTCTGAGCCCCCCCTACAGTGCCTGGTGCTCATCTGTGAGGCCATCCCCCACCCGGGTAGCCTGGAGCCCCCGCTGGGCCGGGGCGCCTTCCTGAGCCGCCACAGCCTGGACATGAAGTTCACCTACTGCGACGAGAGGTGGGCGGTGCCCAGAGGCCAGTGTCCACCATCCTGCCTGACTTTGCCTCTGATGCCATCTGTCCCTTTCCCAGTGTCTGCCGGTCTGTCTCTCTCTCTCTCTCTCTCTCTGAGTCGATCTCGGTTCTCTCTCAAGATCTTAACTTCATGTCTGCAAAATCCCTTCCGTCCTATCAGACTCCATCTTTACCATTCCAACAATTAGGATGTGGACATCTTTAAGGGCCCTTATTCAGCACCCCACACTTCTCTTTTTTGTGTCTTACTCTCTCTTTTACAACCCTGCCTCTCATCTTGCTGGCTTTGTGCCTTCGTCCTGGGCTCCTCCCCTCTCCCACCCCTCCCGCAGCCCCAGCCCTAACCAGACCCCTCTGTCCCACCCTAGGATCGCAGAAGTTGCCGGCTACAGCCCAGATGACCTGATCGGTTGCTCCGCCTATGAGTACATCCACGCCCTGGACTCGGATGCAGTCAGCAGGAGCATTCACACCTGTATGTGACTTATTTCCTCAGCCAGAGCCAGCTGCCACCTGGTCCCCAGCCAACACCTGCCCCCAGCTCTCCACCCCACAGGGAGCCTTTGCTTCCCCCAAGCCCCACAGAACCCTCTCTTCCTGGCCCCACTCTCCTCACCCCCAGCCCCAGGTGCCCTTCCATGGCCCTGACCCCTCTCTGCCCCTTCCCCAGTGCTGAGCAAGGGCCAGGCAGTGACAGGGCAGTATCGCTTCCTGGCCCGGAGTGGTGGTTACCTGTGGACCCAGACCCAGGCCACGGTGGTGTCGGGGGGCCGGGGCCCCCAGTCAGAGAGTATCATCTGTGTCCACTTCCTAATCAGGTGAGCAGAGGAGAGAGGGGTGGTGGTGTGTGTGGGGCTGGTCTGTGTGTGCAGACAAGTGTGCGAGTCTGTGTGTGTGCGCATATGTGTGTGTACATGTATGCATGTGTATGTGTATTGTGTGTAAATGTGAGGATGTGCCCACATGTCCATATATGTGGAACAGGTGTGGCTGGGTAAATCCACACTCACGTATCTGCATGTACACATGCATGTGTATGTGTATACTGATCACTGAATTAAAAAGAATTCTATAGGGCCAGGGATTTAGCTCAGCAGCACAAGCACCTGCCTGGTAATCACAAGATCCTGAGTTCAATCCATGCTGCCAAAAAAAAAAAAAAAAAAAAAACATTCAAAATAGTTAAGCTAAAATAAATGCACTGGGGCCTGGGGATTTAGTTCAGTGGCATAAGCACCTGCCTTGCAAGCAGGCGGTCATGAGTTTGATCCCCGGTACCAGATAAAAAGTTAAAACAAAAATAAAATAAAATGTACTGGACATGGTGGCACAACCCTGTAATCCCAGCACTCTTGGAAGCCTGAGTTAAGAGGACTGCAGGTTGGATCCCAGTCCAGGAAATTTAGCAACTTAGTGAGACCCTATCTCTAAATAAAAAATTAAAAAAGGGCTGAGAATGTAATTCAGTGTGAAGGCCCTAGGCTCAATCCCCAGTACCACCATCACCACCAAAAAACAAACAAAACGAATCAAAGGGATTTTTTCTTTTAAAAATTTGAAATATAATTTACATTTACACCCATAATCCAAACACTTGTGGAGGCTAAAGCAGGAGGATTGCTGTGAGTTCGAGGTCAGCCTGAACTGCATAATGAAACCCTGTCTGAAAAAAAAATTTACATGTAGAGGGAATTCTTACACAGTTCTGTGGGATCTGAGAAATGCATGCAGTTGTGTAACCACTACCGCAAACAAGCTATGGAATAGTCTCCTCAACCAAAAACTTCTCTTGTAGTCTCCCTCTTCCCTGCCTCTAGTCCCTAGCAGCCACTGACTGATGCCCTGGCCCTAGGGTTTGGCTTTCAGGATGTCGGGATACAGGGCATCATAGTATGCAGCCCTTGGGGTCTAGCTTCCTTAGCACGAGGTACACATGAGCCTCCACTTTCCTGACAAACCCTACTGTAAGATGAAAATATTGTAAATCAAAAATGTATCAAATATATCTGAATTACCACACCAGGACCATAGCAAACCATACAGCAGGGATCTGCCAGCATCACAAAGGTCTGCTGTGCCATCACAGGTGAGAAAAGATCAAAGGCAAAACACTGTAAGGATAGTCTCTGCCACATGCATAGCGCGTTTGCACCATTGTAGAGGTAAAAACTCATCCATTTAACCACTGTAGCTGAGGGCTGTCTCTCTCTAAAATTCACCCCTGCTGCAGTAAGCGTCAGTAGCTTCTTTGGAATGCTGGCGTGCACTCCACGGCATGAATGGACAACAATTTATTTACCTGTTCACCACTTGGAGGACTTGGGGCTGTCTGCTATTTTGGATGACCATAAAAACAGCTACTGTAAAATTTTCCTGTGGCGCTTTGTGAGGTCACGTGGTCTCAACTCTTGCATGAACATCTAGAGTGGAATAGGTGGGTCGTGTGAGAAGTATATATTTAGCTTCTCAAGGAACTGTCCAAGTGTTTTCCTTTTATTTATTTATTTTTGGTACCGGGAATCAACTCAGCACCCTGTACTTGCCAGGCAGGCATTGTACCCCTGAGCTATATACCCAACCCCAAACCTTTTCAGAGTGGCTGTACCATTTAGCATTCCCCACAGGAATGTATGAGATTGCTATTTGTTCCACATTCTTGATAGCAAGTGTACTGGAATACAAATCAGTTCATACTTCCTGTCTCTGCACTGCTTAGGAGCCCTTTTGAGAAAACCCAAGGCCCTTTAGGACTCCTGCCTCATTCCCTCCTCAGTCACTCACCAAACCTCAGGACCTTTGCACATGCAGCCTCCCCTACCAAGAATGCCCTTCTCACTTCCGTCCTTCTCATCTTTTTGGTCATGACCCCTCATCTGTCCATTTTCAGCTCAGATCCTTTTCCTGGGCTCCCACGTGTAGTCAGGTCTTCCCATTTTCTCTCCTGGTAGTCTGTATCCTTTGTCCCAGAGTCCTTAAAAATAATAATTATCCTATTAACTTGTAAGCTGAGCTAGGCCTGTTTTGATTCCCCTTTTCAAAATTGCAGACTCTCTGCTTAATTTTCTTCCTTAGTACTTATCACTAACCCAACACTGTCCTATAAAATCATGATGCCAGATATCATTTTGAATTTTCTGATAGTCACACATGAAGGTGAAAAGATACAGATAAAATTAATTTTAAGAGTAAATCTTAGTGTGTGTCAGTACATATACAATATGACCAGCAATGATCATTTCCACATGCAATCCTGATTGAGATCCTTTAGATCTTTGTATGTGGGGTGAGGTACTGGAGACTGAACCCAGGACTGAACCCCAGATCCTTTTTTAAATGCTCAGTTTGAAAAAATCTTGTGTATATCTTACAGTACACCTCTATCCTGGCTAGCCAAGTATAAGAGGTTTACTTAATAGAAAGATATGCGGATACACTTAACACAAAAATAATATATTTTATTAAAAGTCTGTCTTTTTTCCCAGTAGCACTTAATCCCTGTGAGGGCCAGGAGTTTTATCTGTGTGGTGTACTGCTGAATCCCTTGTGCCTAGAACAATGCCTGGTACATAGTAGTTGCTCAGTAAAACAAACAAGCAAAACAAAACAAAAAACAATAGCACACACTTAATCACACCATCTGCCTGGCATAGTTCTATACTTTTTACATATGTTAGTAACTGGGAGGGGTGGTACTGTTATCGTTCCCTATGGACAGAAGAGGACATTGAAGTCCTGAGGTGTTCAGCCACATGTTCAAGGTCACACAGCTCTTAAGTGTCAGAACTGGCATTTGAAGCCAGGCCACTGGTTGTACGATTCTTGCTTTCAGCCACCACCCTGCGGGACCGTGTGATTATAGGTGCCTGTGGTGTGAACGGCAATGAGCTCTGTGTGGTGGACGTGCATGCGTGTGTCTAGTGTGTGTTCACGTGTGTGCCTGCCTGCATTTGGATGCAGGCACTTCGTGCCTGTGTGTCCCAGTGTGGGTCCATTGCCACTGTGCAGACTGTGACTTCTGGGAGCACAGGGTGGCTGTGGTCCACCTGAGTTGGGATGGTCCCAGGCCATGATGGGTTTAGTCATGGAGGAGAAGACCAGGCCACCTTCTGCCCTGCAGGGTGTTATGCAACTGAGATGCAGATGAGATGCAGATGAGGGTGTGGTCCTCAGCCCTGGATCCACTCTTCAAAAGTCACTGTGTCCTGAGTGTATGCGCAGTGTCCCTGCAGCTGGAGATGTGGGGACATAGGAAGGATGGATTTAGAAACCTGTTCCCTTCAGCTTGAAAACTGTCTATGAATAGAAACTTCCCAAATAAACACTTATTCACAAAAATGTAGCCCTATGAATCCTTATGTTTGGTAATGTAATGGAGAATATATATGGCTTTCATCAATGCACTTAGACAATGTTTATAAGCAAATTATAAAGAGAATAGTTAGCTCTCAGGGCTTTACTCACTCTGTCCCAGGTCTCCCCACTGTCCCTGCAACTCCTCCCCCTCTGTCCTTAGCACCCCCGTCCTACCCTCAGCCTCCCTTCCCCCTACCCAGCCTGTACCAGATGCCAGCTCTTTTCCCCGCTTCCTTCCACAGAAAGAGCTTGGGAAGTGACAAACTTAACTGTCATTTGTTCTGTTGGGTTTTTTTTTTTTTTTTTTTTTTTCATGGTTACTTTGAGACAGAGTCTCACTATGTAGCCCAGGCTGGCTGCAAATTCCTGATCCTCCTGCCTCAGCCTCCCAAGTGCTGGGGTTATAGGCATACATTACCACACCCACTTCCACCATTACAGATTGAATTGTCATTTCATTTCAAGGAAGGCATGTTTCAAGAGTTTAGATTTTGGAATATTTGCTTATACATAATGAGTTGTCCCAGGGAACTCAAGTCTAAAGAAATCTAAATTTCTTTATGACTGGGTACAGTGGTACATGCCTATAATCCCAGCACTCAGGAGGCTGAGGCAGGAAGAACACTGCAAGTTTGAGGGAAGCCTGGGCAACAAAGTGAGTTCAAGGCCAGCCTGAAATGCACAGTGAAACTGTCTCAAAAAACAAAAAAACAAAAAACAGGGGGCTGGGGATTTTAGCTCAGCGGCATAAGCGCCTGCCTTGCAAGCAGGCAGTCGTGAGTTCGATCCCTGGTACCGATAAAAACGAAAAAGACAAAAAACAAAACAAAACAAAAAAACCTCTTTATATTTCATGTACACCTTATGCACATAGTGTTAAGGAAATTTATATGCAATTGTGTATTTTATGCATGAAACAAAGAGTCACAGAACGGAATTTTGCACAGTAGTATCGTACCAGTGCTCCTAAAGTTTCAGGGTTTTTTTGTTTTGTTTTTTGTCTTTTTCCTTTTTATCGGTACCAGGGATCGAACTCACGACTGCCTGCTTGCAAGGCAGGCGCTTATGCCACTGAGCTAAATCCCCAGCCCCCTGAGGTTTTGGATTTTCAGATTATGGATACTGAACCTATATAACAAGCAGTCAACAAAAGACACCCCTGATAGGAAAACATTGTGGCAGATTATTTCCTGCAATACCCGCTCCAGCCCCTGATGTGACTGTCTTCTCTACTAGGACCTCACTGGCAGGAGCTGCCTGGGCTGGCACTGAGGACCCCCTCTGACTTACCCCTCTTTCTACCTTGTACCCCAGCCGGGTGGAAGAGACCGGAGTGGTGCTGTCCCTGGAGCAGACAGAGCGACACTCTCGCAGGCCCTTTCAGCGTGGCACCTCCTCCCCAAAGGACGCCCCTAATCCTGGGGACAGGCTTGGTATGGAGCAGGGCTGTCTCTGGGGCCCTTGGGATGATTGCTTTAGTCTCTTGTTGTCCGCCGCTCCAAATCCTGCTGTGGCTCCCTACTGCCCACACCACGCTGCTCTTTGGCCTCCAGTAATCTCAACTGTCTTTCTCCCTCTCCCTCGCATCTCCCCTCCCACCGTCCCAGAGGAGCTGCTCTGCTCACCTTCTCCAGGCTTTGCTGGCCACTTGTGCTTCTGGGTGTGGGGTGCGATCCTTGTTACCCTTTCCTTTTGGGAGCTTAGAGCTGGCTATTTTGACCTCTAAGGACCTTCACACATCCTTGGGGTTTGGACCACTTTTGGTTTTTTCTTACCATGCAGAGTCCCCAGGGCTGAAGAGCTGCACACTATTTCAGGCCCCTGAGCCCTTTCCCTGGCTCCTGCAGGGTCTCCCCACAATCTGGCAATGAAAGTTTGCACTTACCAGGGCCCTCCAACCCCCTTCTCCCCAGCCCTAAGAACAGCAGCCATCCTGAATGGTGCTGTTTCCTGGCCTTGCTATGACGGGTATCCCATCATCAGGTCTAGATGGTCACCCTGTGTCCTTGCCATTGTGCAGATGCCCCAGGTCCCCGGATCCTGGCCTTCCTGTACCCCCCAGCCCTGAGCGAGGCTACTCTGGCTGCTGACCCCCGCCGCTTCTGTAGCCCGGATCTGCGACGCCTCCTGGCTCCAATCCTGGATGTGTCTGCAGTAATCACCACACCCAGCACACCACAGGCCACCCAGCGCCCCCAAAGTCCTCTCCCGGTAAGCAGTCCCGGTCCCACCCATGTGGCCTAGGGGTTCAGTCTTGTTGCTCTCTAGGCCTCAGTTTCCCTGTCTACCAAACAGGAAGGTTGGGATGAGATGGAGCTAAGGTTCCTTTAAGACCTGGATTCTAGATTCTTCAACTATGAGATTCCAAAGTCCAGGCCCAGTGTGGGTTGGGAATCCCCAGGATGTCTGAACTGGTCCAAGTGACCCCCATCAGCTGTGACCCAGCTCCAGGCTCTCTGCACTTCAACCTCTGAGGCAGGAAAGTCTTATGTTTTAATTTCCTGAGTCCTGGGTTCAAATCTTTTATCTTTTTTTGAGACAGGGTCTCTCTATGCCATTCAGGCTGGCCTTGAGCTCACTTTGTAGCCTAGTCTAGTCTTGAACTTGCAACGATCCTCCTGCCTCAGCCTCCCTAGTGCTGGGATTACAGGCGTGAGCCACCACGCCCGGCACTCTGGGTTCAAATCTTGAGTCAGCTCCTTACCAGCTCCATCACGCTGGGCAGCTGAATCCTCGAGGCCTTAGTGAACTCACTGGTATGGGAGGATAGCTGGGAGCCACATCGCTGGTCACTAGGAGGGGAAATGAGAACTTGCATGGGAATCGAGAATGGGCCTTGCACTCGCAGCTGTGCAGCAGACCCTGGCGGCAACACTTTCTTTCTTTCCTTCTTTCTTTTAGTCTTTTGAACCAGGATCTTGCCATGTAGCCCTTGCTGCATCGGTCGAACTCATAGCAGTCCTCCTGCCTCAGCCTCCCAAGCGCTGGGATACAGGCCGTGCCTCCCCGCCCAACTGAGTGACAGTCATTTCTACCTCAGTGCAGACAGGCTGCTCTTTGGCCTCTGTGGGTTCTGCTGCCCACTGCTCACGGTCCTCAGCTCTACCTTCTACCCCAAGAAAACACCTTCCCTCCACTGGAGAAATGTAACTGTGAATTTTGACCTCAACTTTAATCTCAGGAAAACCACAATCTACAGACGCCAGACCCCAAAACCTTTAACCCAAGGGTCTGAATGTGTTAGCTCAGGCTCTGGTCTTCCCAACTTTCCAGTCTGTCCTGTTGATCTGCATGTACCCAGGCACTCTGACCTTTTGACACCTTGGATCAAAAGCACCCTCAACACACCACAGGCTTCCCTGTTTTTCCATTGGCCCCCTTGGCACCCCAGCAGTCTGACATTTGACGCTCATTTCCACCCTGTGCTCCAGAATGTCTTCCTGTTGACACCTCCCAGGACTGAAGAGTTCCCCATTTCCACTCTGTTCCCCACAGGCTGATCTCCCAGATGACCTGCTCCTGGCTGTGGAGCACACGCACAGGCTCTGTGCTGCTGGGAAGAACCCCGAGTCCGAGGACACCGATCTGGACATGGCTCAGGTGAGGGCTGGTATTGTAGCTAAAGGAAGGAACAGATGAGTGGATAAATGGGTAGGTGGGGGGGGCACTGTATTCATTAAATGGATGATAGTAGAAGGGCTGATATTTAGGCAGATAGTGACTGGCTGGCTGGCTGTGTCTCTGTCTCTCTTGGTACAGGAATGGAACTCACAACCTTGCACTTGCCAGGCAGGTGCTTATGCCACTGAGCTAAATCCCCAGCCCCTAGATGGCTATTTGGGTGGATGCTTGGGTGGACAGGCCGTTGTTTCATTGACTGGGTGAACATGGATCATGTTAGGATGGATGACTGACCGAGTAGATAAGCTAAGATGATGAGATGTCACATACAAGTTACGTATCACTACATTAACAAATTACCCACAACGTATTACCTTAAAACAACTGACATTTATCATGTCATGTGATTTCTGAGACTCAGGAACCAGGAAGCAGTTTAGATGAGTGGCATTTTGTTCTGGTTGGGCTTTCGTGGTACTGGGATGGAACCCAGGGCTTGTACCCGCTTCCTCCTGTGTACCGCTGAGCCGCGGGCCCGACCCTCACTGGGCGCTCTCGCTCAGGATCTCCCTGGCAGTGCTGCAGTTTTGGCTGCAGGCTCAGCTGCTCATCCCATGGGGCTCTATGCAGGCTGCACGATGGCTCAGGAGGTGCAGTACTGGGCATGGGAGGGGGAGGGGACTGAGACAGAAGGTACAGCCTTCCACAGACTCACCCAGAAGGGCCAGGCCACTACTCTGCCGCATCCTATTGGTCATACAAACTGCAGAGAACTACACAGGAAGGGTAACACCAACAGGCAGGGATTCCTAGGGGCTCCCAGTGATTCCTGTCACTACAAAAATACACCTGACCCCTCACAAGGCCCATCAGTGTCCAGCGGAGGCATAGCTTAGTATTGGGTTCAATCCCCAGCACCGCAAACTGGTCCCCTATTATCATTACTAGGTATTGTGTGTCTGTAACCATCTGTCTGAACTTTTCTGAGCTGGAAGCACAGTGAGTGTGCTTACAAAGATACAAGCAACACATCGTCCCATGATGCTGTGACAGCTATGTCAACAGGTGTCCAGAACTTCATGGCTGGGTATGGTGGCGCCTGCCTGTAATCCCAGCACCTGGGAGGCTGAAGCAGGAGGCTTGCTGTGTGTTTGTGGTCAGCTTGGGCTACAAAGTGATTTCAAGGCCAGCCTGAACTACATGGCAAAATCCTGTCTCAACAAAAAAAAAAAAAAAAAAAAGAACTTGTCAGCTATGTTATAATTTTGTAGACTACCATCATATCTCCAGCCTGCTGTTAATCAAAATATCATTTAATTTATGAGCAGTTGTCATTGTATTATAGTAAAAGAATACAAATCAGAATAGTCACATAAGAGAGGCAGCAGGTGGCCCCTGGGCCTGGAAGGGTCCCCAGTGCAAAGCATTCATGTCCTTGGAGACACACACCTTACCCTCCTGCTGATTTGCACCCAGTTTGCCAATCCAGAAATGCCCAGGGCCCGGCGTGCACAGCTCTGATTAGGGTTTTGTTCCTTGCAGAGAACGAGCTAAGTTACAGCCTATGTGATTGAATTCTCTTCCCATGTCAAACACCTCTTTCCTAATTCACTGTTTTCTTTTTTAGTTGCTGTCATCTAGGGTCAAGTGACCTCTCTAGGCTTCCATTCCTTTTAGAAATGTTTTTGTTACTACACGTTTGCAATACATGAGGTTCACATTCATCGTCAGCAGCAAGTACGCATACAATCCTGAGCACATCTTAAATTCTTTTTTAACAAACCCTCCAACCTCCCATTCTCTAGATCCCCTTCCCATTTGCAAAGGGTCTTTCTCCATTTCCTAGCAGACTGACTTCAGGTGATTCAGAGCCTCAGCCAGCTGGTCATCCTGGCATGGCAGCTCCACTCCAAATCACCTCTTTAGCATAAACCGTCCTGCATCCTGTGAGTGGCATAAGTTATCAAGTGTGATTCAAGGATTGATTAATAACAAAGACATTGATGGCCCTTGGGAAATTCCAAGAGTTTCAAGGTCACCCCCGAGGAGCTAGGACAATGGCAAGAACTCTCTGGGGAACGTTCATTCGTTCTTTACTACACAGAGAGGTTGACAATCTCAGAATCATCAAATCCCGGCTCCTTTGAACATTTCCCATTCATTTCTGTGTGTGTGTGTGTGTGTGCATGTGTGTGGTACTAGGGGTTGAACCCGAAGCCTTTACACTGAACTGCATCCCCAGCATTTCTTGTATTACAGTCTCAGTAAATCACTAAATTGCACATGCTGGACTTGAATTTGAGATCCTCCTGCCTCGGCCTCCCAGAGTGCTGGGATTAGAGGATACACCCCCATGCCCAGCCCATTTCTTCCTTTAGCCTCTCTCTGCTCTTCCCTTTACCCTAGGTAGCAAGAGGGAGGGAATCAGACAGTAGCTGGACATTTCAACACTGTGGTGAGAAATCTCCCCAGCTCAATCAGCCAGTTCATTGGTTCCATTTTCTCCTTCCCATGTACCTATGGGCAGCCGCTGCCCACGATGAGAACCCCGAGGCCTGTGCCACCCTCTTGCTTCAGCTCAGCCTTGCTGGCAGCCATGTTTCAGGTTCTCTGATCTTTGGTCAGGTGAGTTAGGATTTCTCTCATGTGCTGCAGAGTCCTTCCAGTTCCAGAGTCACTGCTGCCACCCTCAGCACCAAAATCTTACGTGTATTTCTAGGTAATCAGTCACCCTAACATTTAGCAGGTTAAAACAGTAAGCATTTATAAGACCTCTTGTAACTCCTGAGGGTCAGGGGTCCAGGAGCCATTAAGGTGGCCAGAGCGAGTCAGAGAGTGCGTGGGTGCCACGTTTCCCACAAGGCCACGGCCATCAAAAGGCCCGGCTGGGACTAGAGGATCCACTCCCAAGGTCACTCACGGGGCTGTTGGTGAAAGTTCTCAGGTTCCTGTGGGCCTCGCCACAGACCTGCTAGTCACAGGGCTTCCCCTCCGCCTAGCCACGGCAGGTGGGGGGACCGTGTGTTTTGTTGCCTAATGCAGAAGTCACACAAAATCACCTCCTGTTGTTACCCAGGTCAGTCTTGGTCACCAGGATGTGGGTCCAGGAGGGCTGCCTTGGTTAGTATTACCTGTTTTGCAGATTGGGAGACTGAAGCTCAGACGCTGAGCCTCTGGCACATGATTCAGAGGTGGTGGAGCTGGGACCCCACGCAGGCCCCCCAAGGCCAAGGCCTGCACCCTCTATCCTAACTCCCTCCTCTTGCCCACCTTCCACAGGACGCCGACACTCTGGATTTGGAGATGCTGGCCCCCTACATCTCCATGGATGATGACTTCCAGCTCAGCTCCAGTGAGCAGCTGCCCAGGGCCTACCAAAGACCTCCAGGGACTGTGCCCCGGCCCCGCGCTCAGAGCTTCCATGGCCTGTCACCCCTGATCCCCGAGCCCGCTCTGCTGCCCCGATGGGGGAGCGACCCCCGACTGAGCTGCTCCAGCCCTTCCAGAGGGGACCCCTCAGCATCCTCCTCCACTGCCGGGGCTCGGAAGAGGTGAGCAACAGTAGAGGGGGGACGTTAACAGGGCACAGAGATCCCCAGCGTGGGTCGGGTCTGTCTCCACCTCTGTGCCTTTTGGAGCCCCCTCTACTGCTCTGGTTGTTCTCCCAAAGCCCACCACAGCCAGGGATCAACCCTGAGGGACAAACTGAACCATGACATCATAGTGAAGAAGACATAGCTGGCACAGTGGCACATGCTTGTAATCCTAGCTATTCGGGAGACTGAGGTAGGAGCATCACGAGTTTGAGGCCAGCCTGGGCAACTAAATGAGACCTTGTCTCAAAAGAAAATGGAAAGAGGACTGAGGTATAGCTCACTGGTAGAGCAGAGCTAGGAAAAAGGAGACACCGCTACAGTGCCTGAGGAACTAGCACTAAGTTTCTTTTTTTTTTACCCCATTCTATTCTGTGGGAACTAAGTTTCCAAATACCTTTGAGAAAACTGTGGAGTCTTTCTAAAACACACACAGACACAGACACACAGGCACAGAAACAATTCTGTGTATAATTTAGGAACGTGCAATGTCCCACTTCCCAAGGCATATGAACTCACACTTTGCTCTCCACAATACGGCCACGTGCCTGTTTAGTCGCCAGGGGAGATCACGTTTCTGCCCTTTGGAGGCTGTTAAGGATGCAGATCGGTATCTCCCAAGGCTTCCAGCTTGGGGATGGTCACACACTGGGTGCCTAATAAATGTAATAATAATACAGGAAAATGGAAAATGATGAACATAGTGGGTGGACAGACAGATGGACAGGTGGGTGAAGGACAGGTGGACGAGTGGAAGGATGAATCACCAGATGGATGGGTAGGAAGAAGGAATAGTAACTGGATGGGGGAATGAATGAATAAATGAATGGGAAGATGAGTGAATAGGAGGCTGGGTGGGCAGGAAAGGGGTGGAAGGACGGACGAATAGATAGATGATGAAAGAAGAGATGGATGGGAGGTTGGCTGGGTGGGTAGGTAACGGCTCAGCAGGTAAATGAATGAGATCTAGATTGGTAGATGGGTGGATGGATGGACAGGTGGATGGACCAATCGGTTGGGGGCGCATGCCTGGACTTAGCAGGTGCTTGGGGTGCATGTGTGGATGCTGATCATGGCTGCGCTGCTGCCCAGTCCTCTGTGCTGTGTCTGAGTCCTGCCTGTTGTTCTCCAGGGCCCTGGCCCAGAGCTCAGAGGACGAGGGGGTGGAGCTGCTGGGTGTGAGACCCCCCAAAAGGTCCCCCAGCCTAGATCCTGAAAACTTCCTGCTGCCTCCCGTCAGCCTGGTATGTCTGGGGATTGGAGGGATGTTCTGGCCCTCAGAACCTGGCAGGCTTAAACTTCTTGTTCTATAGATGGGGAAGCCAGAGAGGGCCAGGGGCTGGCTGAAGGTCATACAGAAGATTAACGGTCCAGCTGGAGTCAGGACCTTGATCTTCTAGTTCTGCTAATGGGTATGAAAAGGCTTTGCCAATGTGTGATAAGTGCCAAGAAGAGACATCAAAGAAGGTAAAGGGAGCAGTGCAGAGATGGTGGGTGTTAGGAGGAATCTTCCCTGTCTGCAGGGGACCCCTCCCGTGGGAACCCCTCAAAGCAGGCTTGGTCTGGGACATCTAGTATAGAGTCAAGAGTTTTAAACACGAGAGGCTGACGTGGGTTTGAGTCCCAAGTCTGCCACTTAGTTACTGAGAAGTTGGGCAGTTCATGTCAACTCTGAGCCTTAGTTTCTAAATGTGGAAAACGGGGATCGTGACATCACACAGGACTGCCACCAGAGTTAAATGAAATCAGGCCCACAGTGGATACTCAGTAGGATGTCACTTAATGGTGTTAGGAAACATGGTGGCCTAGCATGCACTAGCCCCAGGACCTTAGAAAGTAGCGTCCTCTGATCTTCTTGCCTCTTCTCACCCCACAGTCCATTCTGCACAATAGTAAACAGAACATACTTTCTAAAAGCCAGCCTGGACTGTGTCACTTCCACAAATCCCTACAAACTCTCCCTCTAGGACCTCCCATGGCTCCCTAGTGCCCACAGAAGGGTTTTCTGGCTTTTTAGTCTGCAGGGTGCTGTTTGAACAAGATGGGTGTGGCTGGTAATACCGACCGCTTACATTTATTAAGTGCCTGCTGTATGCCAGATGCAGACTTCACTAAGCGCTTTGCATGATTAACACACGTAATCCTCAGCCACACTTGAAATGCCATTATTAAGGTATGCATCACACATGAGAAGTTAAGCAGCTTTATCAGCCAGTCTAGACAAGAAGCAGCACCCCCAGACAGGGTGATGAGGATGTAACAGCAGGACAGTTGACCAGGCTGTGGGTGGGGTACAGGGGCAGCCACAGGGCTGGTGGTGGACTGGGGCCAGCACCGTGGAAACCAGCACTCCCCCAGCCTGCAGGTGTGACTGGGGTGACCCTGGGTCCTGGAAAGAGGCTGAAGTGTCCCATGCAGGGACAGAGCAGCTCAGTCCCCTTCCCCTGTTCTACCTGCTGCCATCAGTGGCACCCAACAGAGCCCGGAGCCAGGCTACACACAGCCAGCCTCCTGGGCATGGAGGAGGTGAAAGAAGGGAGAAGGAAGAGGCTCTGGAGGGACACACAGAGGACACACTGGGAGACAAGTGGCCACCATACTCCAAGGGTGCCCTGCACTGACCACTGCATCGTCCTGCCTCCGTGGATACTGGCAATGATGATGATGGCAGCGGATCTGTCTCTCTCCCCCAGAGTTTCCTCCTGATGGGAGGCCAAACCCCAGGGATCCAGCAGGACCCTCACACCCACCTCCTGGACATGAATGGGCCTTTGGGTGAGTGACAACCCAGATACACAGTGGCTCTGGGTCTCCTATCCCCAAGAGGGGTGCTGGATGGTGGAGAGTGGGGACAGTACTGGGGCTGTGCTGCAGTATGAGGGCGACCTTGGTGGGGCCAGGCAGCCCCACCCTCCTTTCTGGGACTGTGATCAGAGATTACAGCGGCTGCCCCTTGGGGCGGGAGCCAAGCCCGAGTTTCTCTGGAGCCAGACTGAGCTGTGAACATTCTCAGCTGTGAGGCTGTGTCACTTCTGCCCCTGAAGCCTCAGTGTCCCCCTCTGTCAGGTGGGGCCCCATGGAGATGCCACACTACCAGAGCTTTCCTTACAAGGCCTGCGTCATGAAGCATCCTCCCGTGTGGCTGTCGTGGTGATACGCACCAGCCCGGAGCATGAGACAAGCTGTTGTGCTGTGTCACTATCATTTCCAGCACAACTGTCAGCCAGGGAGATCTCTCCAAAGCACGACTCTGCCCTAGCCCTCCTCTGCTCAAACCTCTTCCATGGCTCCCTAGTGCCCTTCAGAGAAAGATCAGGTTCCGGGGGCTGGAGGTTTAGCTCAGCGGCATAAGCACCTGCCTTACAAGCAGGCGGTCGTGAGTTTAATCCCCAGTACCGATAAAAATGAAAAAGACAAAAAAAAAAAAAGAAAGATCACGTTCCTCATCTTGGACTCCAGCCCCTGTGGGCTCTGGCTCCTGCTCCTCTCAGGTCACACACTGTGTCATTCAGACTTTTGGTTTACTCCTTTCTTCGTGTGGTATTTATGGAACACACAGTAGGTGCCAGGCACTGTCTTGGGTGTAGAGATTCACAGAAAACGTAGAAATCTCTACCCTTGTAGGGGCTGGCATTCTGGGAGGGGAAAAAAGACCATGGCAGAGAAACAAGTGCAGGAAAGGGTCTGTCCACCTGCAATCCCAGGTGCTTGGAAGGCTGAGGCAGGAGGGTTCCAGTTTGAGGCCAGCCTGGGTAACTTAACAAGATCAAAATAAAACACAAAAGACTAAGATTGTACATGACTTGGCAGTAGAATGCTTGCCTAGCACATGTGAGACCTGGGCTCCATCCCCAGGAGAATTACAAAAATAGAAACCAACCAAAAAATGCAAGAGCTGAAAATAAGTGGGGAAGATAATGCATGCCAGGTAAAAGAGAATGGGGTCTCCCCCCACCCCATTTTAGGCAGTCTGATGGGGCTGGCCTCACACAAAGGCTACAGTCACACAAAGATTTTGAAAGGAATCAACACTGATGAATTCTGGGGCAGACTGTTCCAGGTAGAGGGACCAGCAGGTACCAAGGTGTCTAGGTGGCGCTGTGCCTGTCTACGTTAGGAAAAGCAAAAAGAAAGGGAAAGGTGAAGGGCAGATTGCACAGGGCCCCTGCAGGGCATTGTGCTGGCTTAAAGTTGCAGTACTTGCAGAGGTCACCTTAGGGCCTTTGCATATCCCAACCCCTCTGCCTGGAGTGTTTTTCCCTGCATTCTCTGCCTAGATGCAATATTACTCCCCGCCTCCAAGGACCGCTGCTCCTTCCTAAGCTCACAGACCATTGCTGCCCAGGCATCCTTATTTGATCACAGGCTGACTTCTCCCCGTGGCTCTGAGCCACATGAAGGCAAGGCTGTCTTGGCTGCTGCTGCACTGTCTGTGCACATGCCACATGGGCAGCTGTGAATGAAGAGCCAGTGTTGACTGAGCACTTGCTCTGTGCCAAGCTGCAAGTCAGGTCTTGTCTGGACATGATCGCATCAGCCATCTGCTCTGGAATGTCAGCCCAGGGGCAGGGAGTTTCATCTCTCCAGAAAGCACACTGCCAGGTCCCCAGTAGGTGCTAAGTATGGGGAAAGCAGCTTCTCAGAAAAGGCACCAGCTCACTTACTGATGTGAGTACCACTGGCACTGGTTCTGTTCAGAGCTCATCCTGTGGGCTCACTGACTCCTCCCAGCAGCCCTGGGAGGCAGGGCTGTTATGAGCCCATTTTACGGGTGAGAGTACTGAGGCCCTGAGAAGTGAAGTCCCCTGCCCTAGGTTGCATAGCAAGTACAATAGCAATGTCTGGATGCAAACTAGGCGCTGGGGGTGCAAGCCCAGGGTTCGCACACGCTCTGCCACTGAGCTGCCCCTGAAGGCAGGTCTTTAACCCCAGCTCTGCTTGCTCACGTTCTACTGCCATGGGGCTCAGGCAGGTCCGCCTCCCTCCCTGCTTTTTTAGCTCCAGGAGGGGAGATGGGATGGGCAGCCATCCTCCGGGATTTACCTTCCATCTCTCCCTGAAGGCCTGAGCCCCTCGCTGCTCTCTCTCTACTCAGACGAGGATGCCGTCCAGCCCAGGAGCCACTTCGCGCCAACCACAGGTTTGGCCCAGGCCCACTGAGTGCACGCCTCTCCTGCCTCGCTCCTCACCTGCAGAGGTCAGCCACACTCCGCACCAGCCGTGATGCACGGAGTAGGCCTCGCCAGGGTGCCCGCCAGCCTCGGGCCTGCCTCAGTGCCCCCTCTGCCCGCACCTATTCGGGGGCTCTTTGGGGTGGCCTCAGCTCAGTGACCTCTGGGAGGGGGTCTCAGGCCTCTCCCTCTGCTCTCAGGACTTCTTGGGGTTCTCCATACATGGTTACCTCACTCTCCCTTTTGCTGACTCTCTTGGCTTTATTTGGGGAACTAGGGGCACGGAAGGCTGGGGTCACAGCTGTGTTTCTGGGCTTTGGAGAGGATGGATAACCATAATCACACTTTCTGTCCCTCTTGTATTATTTTTGTTTTTAATCACTATGAATTGCTGAGGGTCCATCGAACTTGGGACTCTGGTCCTCAGGTGTCCCAGGGGGCAGCTCCTGGGCCAGACCTCACACCCCAGAAACCTCTGAGGGGGGGTCTCTCTTGCTGCCCCAGCTCTGTCTGCCTCCTCTACTCTGGACTTCCTGCTGCCTCCAGCCTCACCTGGAACATGACTTCATTCACGGTCTTCCTACTTCAGGGGTACCCTCAACTTCCTCTGCCTCTGAACCACAGGACTTCTGACCTCTGTCCGTTCTAGACTGAAAACCTCCGGCCTAGCCTGAGCGACCTCCAACCTTTCCTGGGCCTCGACTGTGCAGCCTCCAACAGTCTGCTGGAGACCTCACATCCTCCAAACCCCTGATTCCAGATCTCATGATCTTCAGCTTTTTCTCGTTCTGGACCTCACAACCTCCAAGCCTGCCTGTTTTCAAGTGCTCTGAGTCCCAAAAATTGGTGTGAGCTACAGACCCTCTAACTGGCTCTTGCTCTAGAGCCTGAGGCCACCAGACTATTGGTTCCGGAGCTCATTCTGTAACTTCTTCTGGTTTTAGACCCCCACACCTGCAAGCTTCTACTTACTTATTCCAGTCTTCCTGATCTGTGGGACATCAGGTTCCAAATCCAGACCTTTTGGGGTTTTTTTGTTACCAGGGATCAAACTGATGACCTTGCACTTACCAGGCAAGTGCTTGAGCCACTGAGCTAAACCCCCGGTCCAACACCTCTTAATTTCTAAACCATTTCAACTTCAAAGCATCTGATGCCTCAGTTCATTCCTCTGCAATAGTCTGCACTCATCACAGAGAAATGAAATAAGCTTTGTCTGGATCCTGTAGCCAGTCCTTCTAGAGTCAAATAGCACGTGCCATTTCTTAGGTTCAGGCCTTCACGGCCTCTACCATTCACCAGTTCTAGACTACCCAACCCCTGGACATTGCAACCTCCTCTGATCCCCTGATCCCAGAGCTGGTGACTTGCTTCTTCTGAGGTCCTACAGCTGAGTCACAAATGTCTTGTGACTCTAGACCACATCCTGTAAACTCCCTCAGTTGTACACCTTACAATTTCCAAGTCTCGCCCTCCCCCCATTCCCAAGGTTAGCAACCCAGATTAGCCTGGGTCTAGAACTCAGTCATCAAACATCTTGTGATCACACACTGCCTGATAAGTTTTATGGTTCCAAACCTTACAACCCCAACTCTTCTGATTCTAGATCTTACAACATCAAAAATCTCTGCTTCTGCAGTCTCCCTCTTAGCTATCATTCCATAAATTTCTCTGGTTCTAGGCCACGCAGCTTCCAGTTGCCTCTCATTTTAGATCCAAATGCCTCAGGTTCTCGAAATCTGACTAAATGTTTCTGATTCTAAAGTCTAGACTTCGTCCTGCATATTCCTCTGGTACCAAATCCTATAAAGTCTGACACCCATACTCCACCTTCTTCACTCCATTCTGGGCTTCTCACCCCCTCTGAACTTGTCCCAATTTCTGTCCTCAGTCTTAAGTCTTCCAGTTCCAGGTCCCCCCTCCAGGCCCTGTGCTTATGAACTTCATGTTCAAGGCTCATCTCATCCCTAAGATCTCTGTCCTAGAACCCCTCTGACTCCCCACCCAGGCCGTGCTGACATCCACTTACCTTGACTTTACGCAGTGTCTAGGGACTTGGGGCTCTCAATCCAGGAGACTTCTCCAGCAATACAGGTACACACACAACCCTGCCTGCATATATTGGGGTAGGGGAAGACAGGCCAGGACTCCCACTCTCTACCACCAGCTGCCTTCCATGATGGTGCTACTCTTGGTCTAAAACAGGAAAACCAACCACCCCTTCTCAACCCCTTCACCCCGTCTCCAGGAGGCACTACTCACTGTTTTGTCAGGGGGTGGTCTGTCCAGATTGGTGCTATAGGGGAAAGGATCTGATTCCCCTTGCCTCTGGGGGTGACATGGGCCATCCTTGAGGGGAACTGTGCTGTGCTAGGGAAAGGGAAGGGACTGGCCCAGCCATGCTGGCTCTGAAACCCACTACTGTCCCCCCCAAATCACCATAAAGACCTTGCCTTGGTAGGCATCAGAGCTCAGTGTGTTGACTCATCTGTGGGGCCACTCGGGTGGAGTGCTCTGTGTGGCTGGGTGTCCATGACACTGACTCTTGGTGTGTGTCTGTGTTCCAGTGTGGGCATGTGTAACATGTCTGGTGATGTCATCCATGGATACTTGTAGCTCTTTGTGACATACTTCTGTGAACCTGTGCTGGGGAGTTCCATCTCCTCTACTGTGGGTGTTAGCATCTGGGAGAAATGATTGCTGTGTGTGTGTGTGTGTGGTTACTTGAGTGGGAAGCACTGTGATTTCCTTGTCTTTGTGATGTGATGCTATATGCCTATGGAACTAACACAAATTCCAGGAACTGATGTGCATCTGTGTGACGTGGTTCTCTGTACTCAAATGAGTTTGTGCGCGCACGAGATCTAGTGTCTAACAGATTCACATGTGGGAAGGTACGTCTGTTCAGTCGTGTCTACGTATGTCACCCTCATAGCCCTCTCCTGGGTTCCACACAGGGATCATTATGAGGGAGGAAAACCACTCTCTAGCCTTCCTACTAGCTGCTTCCTCTGCCTTAAATACCTGCAAACCCCTCCATGTCCTACTCATACTTGAGAGTTTGCTTAAGACACTCCTTGCTTGCCCCAGTTGGATGAAGCCTCACAACTCCCCGAAGCTCTCTTGCCCTGTTACAGCACCAAGCAAACAGATAAAACAGGCTCAGACAGGGTGATCACTTTCCCAAGGTCACAGACCCTGGGTGTGGGGAGCTGAGTTGGATTCAAGTTCATCAGACCAGATTCTGCTCCCTTCAAAACAACCAAAAAGCAGCAGAAAAAGGTCACTAACCCGGAGGGGCAGGCTCTGGCACATAGTAGAGTAAGAATTAAGAGCACATGAGTTAAGTGAGACATTCAAATCCTGCCTGTGACATCTCCTTTTCTCGTGATCTTGTGTAAATTTGCTGAATGCAAATTCAGGGACTCCCTCTGTAAAATGGGCAGGCCACTAGCATCCAGGGTGGCTGTTGGTTGGGGTGGGGGGAGAGGTTTGTGGTGGGGTAGACTGTGCTTCCAGGAAGGGACTTTGAGGAGAGTTTTAAAAGACTTTGCCCTACAGTTTAGCTTACGTAGAGGCCCAGGGCTTGGAAAAGGTGGGATGGGTGGTACAAACTGGGTGGCGAGCGAGGTGTCTGAAAAAGTTTCCTGAGGTTGGACTTAATATTCAGGATCTCCTAGGTCATCAGCAGTTTGGATCCTGAGGGCGCTGGGGAGCCATGGAAAGGTAGAGGGTTCAAGCCAGTCTTGCAGAGCTTCACAAAGCCCACTCTAGCTGCCGTCTGGAGGAGGGAGGCTGAATGTAAGCAGCACAGGGAGCTGAGGCTGCGAACCAGGCAACAGAAAATGCAGTCAAATCAGAGGGAGAATCACTGTGAAGGATCGACAGGGCCTGCCTGGAACGCTGGATTCTGGGAGCAGAACGAAGATGATACAAACAAACCTGCATCTTGCTCAGGACCTGGGGATCCCAGGTGCCTTTGGGGAATAACAGAAACACTAACGTGAAAGGTGCGAGGTTTTACTTTGCTTGAGAAACCACCCATTTTTCAGAGGGGTAACTGAGGCGCTGGGGTGGGGTTATGAGTCGCTCAAGGTCACACGGGAAACTGGCAGCAAGGCTGAAGCTGGGGCTCTGCACTCCCTGGAGCACAGGGCGGCCCTGCACAACGGCCCCACCCGCCAGCGGCATCTGCAACCCGTCGGGTACCAACCTGAGAGGACTGCGGGCGGGGTCTTTAAAACCCAAGAAACTTTTGCGGCCTCGGAACATGGTAACTCTGGAAGCAGAAGCCGTGTCGAGCCTTTTTTCCCCGCGCGCCCCCTTGTCGTTCCTTATTGGTTGGTTCTTCTAAGAGACGCTGCCTGGAGACCCTCTAGTCACCTTGTCTTCCCCGCGCTCTGTAGAGAAGGGGCTTTGCGCAGGCGCGTGAAGGGTTCCTTCGGGCCCGCGCTTTACGACACTTGTGCGGCAGCGGCGGCGGTCATTCGGCGCTCCTTCGCGACGGTTCGGCCGGGTGCCGCTGGCGGCCGTTGCCAGGGTGGGGGTCGCTTTGCGGCATGGCGATGGCGGAGGGCGAGCGGACTGAGTGTGCCGATCCCCCCCGGGACGAGCCTCCGGCTAATGGCGCTCTGAAACGGGCAGAAGAGCTCAAGACCCAGGCCAACGACTACTTCAAAGGTGCGCCTAGCCCGGACAGGGCGAAGGAGGGTGGACAGCGGCCCAGGCCAAGGGGTGCCGCGCGGAACCATGGCAACGCGGAGCGGCAGCCTGGGCGCGGGGCAGGCAGTACCAAGTGATGGGACGTGAGGAGGCCTGGGATGGCGCTACCGAGGGGTGACATAGGGGGCTTCTGGGAGGAGGGGGTAATGCCTAGAAGTGGCTTACGGAGCGGGAGCTACTAAGTGAGGAGGCTGAGGGGGGAGCTACCAAATGTGGAACAGGAGGGGGCCCGGAATGTGGTGAGACCTGAAGGGGGCGCTACCTAGGACTGACAGGAGTGATGGTGCTACCAACTGTGGAGATCCTGGTTGTTGGGTACCACCAAGTGGGAAAGCAGCCGCATAGGGAAGGGAACTATGGAGCTAGGGGATAGATCATCAGATTGGGAGGTGCCTAGGAAGTAGTAGACTTGAGGTGACCTGAAGAAAAGGGACATGTAGGAGCCTTTGGGAGCAGTGAATGAGATACATGTGACCCTACCCGTAGACAGTTTGTAATTTAACAGCAGTCACATTGAGCAAGCGTGCAAATAAATGCTTAAGTTAAAAGAAAACCAACAAAGTGATGAAGTAGAGAATAAAGTTTGGTAGCTGCTTTAGATAAGGCGGTCAGGCCTTATGAAGAAAAGGCATTTAAACAGAAATTTGGAGGGCAATTGAGGAGGAAATGTTCTAGGTAGATGGATCCACATATGCAAAGGCCCTGGAGTGAGGAATGAAAGGAGGCCCTCATGGCCTGAGCTTTAGCAAGTTTGAAGAGGAGACTGATTCAAGATAAGGTGAGGATGGGGGCCAGATCATGCAGGGTCTCACCTGTCTTATTCACTTCCCCAGAAGAGACATTGAATAGGTCTGGACTGGAGAAAAATGGGAGCTTAGTCAGCTTAAGGTTGGAATGGGTGAAGTCACCTGAGTAGAATCTGGAGAAGAGCTAGAATGGAACCCTGAGGAATTCTAATATTTAGAATGCAAGAGGAGGATGCTGAGAGTAATGGTTGGTGAGGTGGAAGGGAAGATGGTGTCACAAAGGCTGAGAGAGGACGGTGTTTCTAGACAGGTTCCCTCGGTGAGATGCTGCTGAAGTGAGCACCAAGCTTTGGCCGTTGGATTGGCTCAGCAGCTGCAGTTGGTGGAGTGGCTAAGAGCTGTTGCTGGGGAATGACAGTGACAGCTAGGAGGTCACTGTGGGGGTAAATGGGAGGCAGCAGATGCTGACAAGTGTTTGAGTAATTTGGTGAAGGGGAGTCCATTTTTTCAAGCATGGTCCAACAGAGAGGCAGAGTTGATTCTGCAGGAGAGAGGAGAGATTCACACCTGGGGAGCTCTGGAGCAGGTGGTTGGAAAGTGAGACACTCCAGAACCCCAATGGAAAGTGAGCCCCCACTTCAGAGTATGGGGATGTTTGATCAGACGGGAGCAATGAAAGGAGGTAGGACGGGTGAGAGCTTCAGCCAGAGGAAGGAGGCCAGGCTGGGAAGAACATCAGCCTGAAGGTGATGGGGAGCTATGGAGGGTTTGAAGAGAGGAGCCACACAGTCTGATTAGCTTTGGAAGAAGATGCCTTGCTGCTGGCTAGTGTACAGGGACAAAGGCAGGACTGCAGCCCGGGACAGAGACTGGAACAGAGGACAGGTGAGAGGTGGTAGGGACTCAGATCTGGCTGGAAGAGGAGAAGCTGAGGAAATGACAGTGGCAGCAGGGGAAGGGAGGCTCTCCAGGCAGAAAGAACGCAGTGACAGGCCCAAAAGTGAGGAGAACCTGGCACCTAAAAAGTGGTGGTGGTGCTGGTGGGACTGGAATGGAGGAGGCGAGGGAGGGGATGGTGAGGCTGTGTACAGCAGAATATTTTAGGTCCCAACTTTCAGCTGAGGGCTCTGGGAAGCCCTGGATGACGCCGAACAGAGAAAAGAAGAGGTCAGGCATGTGCTTTAGGAAGATTCTTGATAGGCAGAACTAGAGTCTGGGGCCAGAACCTGGGCGAGGGCAGGGAGGGTCCAGGGATGCAAGTGAGGGAATGGTGTGAGAGATGCTCTTGGAGGCCAATGTGACAGAATGAAGAAGATTCTGGGCTTGGAGTCTGGAATGTGGAGGTGTCTAGGATGAGGCCAGGTTTCCAGCTAAGTGACAGGGTTGGAAGTGAAGCTGTCTCCTTCTATGGGGCTTCAGAAAGACAGCAAGAATTGGGGTTGCTGCTGAAGCTGATTGAGAATTCGGGAAAGAGTAAGCCATGGGGAAGGGCCCTTGCTTCCCAGGACCTGGGACCCATGTTCTCAGGAGCCCGGGGGCTGGGCAGGGAACCAGAGGTGCCTGGCACAGAGCTGGCTTTGGAGAACAACCCTCTGGTCTAGCCTTCTTGCAGGCAGTGGCAGGCACAGAGCCCCAGGCTCCGGGGCTGTGGGAATTACAATAAAAAGAATAATTACAGCTAGAGGTAATTGAGCCCCAGTGGTGGCCAGGTACAAGCTAGGCTAATCCTCCCCGAGGTGCCGGGAAGTAGGTAGTCGCAGCCCTGTTTGTTTTATAGAGGAAGCGGGCTCAGAAAAGCGAAACTGCTCGCCCAAGGTCAGAGTGTAAGCACAGCCGGATATCCCCTTCCTCCTCGCCGGCCGAGTGTTGGTGCTCGCTTCAGAATCCCAGTCTCAGGAAACAAGAGGACCACAGTGGGGAAAGGAGGTGCTTCAAAGACCTGGGACTCAGTCTGAGTCCCTGCTCTTCCCCTTTCGCTGGGGCTGTATGCCCCTTTCTGCAAAATGGGGGAGCAAAGTGTGCTTAACTCCGCAGGGTCTTCCTGTCTAGAGTGGGTGGAGAAGCTCAAGCCTGGGCAGGTGCCTTGACCTCACTGCATGTCTCCTCATCTCCGGAATGGGGACTGCCTGGAGGGCGCAAGGTGTCAAGGAAGCCCGAGGAGCAGGGCTGGCCCTCAACGGTGAGGGTGCGGGTGTGGTGTAGCCCCTCCCATTTCCTTCCTCTCCCCCTTCCCTTTTCCCTTAGCCATTCATTGTCTGCCATTCATTGTAATCTCCCCAAGCTCACCGACCTCTCCCAGCCACCAGCCAGGCAGAGCCCATTGTGAGTCGGGATTTCTGATGTGCAAACTGAGGTGCAGAGGGAGGAGGCTGTTTCCCTGTTGTCTCTTGTTAGGGATGTGCACGGCCTCATGGGAAGAGCCTCTCCCTGTGCCATGCAACAGAGGAATGCTTTACCCTCAGCACTGGCTGGGCCCGGGCAGCCCGCAGGAGCACCTGACCAAACTGGAGGTCAAGTAGGGCTTCCCAAAGGGGACATTTGAGCCGCTTGGAAGATGGCCAGGAAGGATTGTTCTGTTGTCCCTGGTCACATCCCTTCTCTAATTTCAGTTTCTGTCACTCTGTCTTTCCCTCCCTTCTTTCCTCCTGTCCTTCCTTCTCTCCCTCTGTTCTTTCCTCCCTCCCTCTCATTATCTGCTTCTGACTCACTCTTATCCTCCAGGTGGAAGCTCCAGCATCCCCTCTGGGCTGCCTGAGTCCTCTGCACTCTGGTGTTTGTGTTTGAGACAGGGTCTTGCTATGCAGTTCAGACTGGCCTTGTACTCACTGTGGACCCTGGATTGGCCTTGAATACCCAGTGATCTTCCTGCCTCAGCCTCCTGGGTGCTGGGATCACAGGCATGTGCCACCACACAGGTTCAGATGTGGGAGATTGATCCTAGGCAAACAAAGAAAACAGGAAGGTCACAGGTGTTAGGTTAGTGCTCTGGAAAAGGCTCAAGTGGGGATTAGGGTGGGGACTCACAGGCTAGGCTCCAAGGTACCTAGAAGACTGAAACTCAGGTCCAGAGAGGGTATGTAAATTGTCCAAGGAAGCACAGCTAGTAAGAGGCTGAGCCAAGGGCTGGGCCCAGGCCACATGCACTGTCTTTCCACCGGCCTCTGCCAGGCTTCCACCTAGAGCACCCCAGGCCTGGGGAGGACGGGCTGAGAGTGAGTACATTTTGGTCTTGGCCTGGCTTAGAATCCATGCCTGTCACTGCTGCATGACCTCAAGTGTAAATCTTCCTTGCTCAGCTGCAGTCCCCTCATCTGGAGAAGGGGCAAAGGCAGCTGCCCTCAGACTGTGAGGGTTTAGTGACAGACTCATGTGCTAAAACTCTGCATGCCACCTGGCACCTCCTGGCCTCCCAGCTAGGGCTAAAGTGAGGCCTTCGAGGCCTGGGTTCTCCTTCCTGTTGTGTGGTGTGTGGGAGGAGGCAGGCCTGGCTTTGCAGGTACAGGCTGGGCCTTTGACCTTGAACAAGACCTCTGTGGCTCGTCGTTGTCAGGTGCACACCAGATGGCACTTAAGCTGTGCAGACACGAGGATTCCACAGGTCAGGATGTAACGGGCGGGGCACAGCTGTGGCTCATTTCAAATAAAGTCTGACCTTTTGTCCTTGGCTAGATGTCACACCCTGTTACCCCGAATGCAGAACATCACCATCCAGCCCTTGAGGTAGATGCCAGGGCCGCGGGAATCCATCCCATCAGCCACCCTGCCGCCTCTTCTGCCCTCCCCAGCCACACCAGCCTCTCCCTAGTCTGCTCCGGGCCTTCGTACTTGCTGTGGCTTCTCTGGGGAACACTCTCTCCCCGGTCAGAAGGGCTAAGCAGTTATTTTCCCCCTCTCCACCTTGTCTCCCAAATGGCTGTCTCTTTTTGGGGTGAGCCGGACAACCAGAGGG